GTTGATTCTCTTATTAAAACGTCGCAACAGTTTGTCTGTTACACGAAGAGGGAAGAACCAATGTGTCGGCTAAGAGAGAGAGAGTGTGTGCATGTGTGTGTGTGTGTGTGTCCGTTTCATGAATATTGAATTTATTAATTCGAAACTGCACCGTCTCGACCGAACCTGATATTTCATGCCAATATTCCCCCAAGCTCTTCAAAGAGATTTGCTTTTACCAATACTACCATGTTATGGTGAAATATAAAAATACAAAAGTATCGGTGAACAGTTCATTGGTAGGTATTTTTACATTTATAAATATTTCACTGACACGTGTTCTGTCAAATTTTTCTTATGCTTCGATTCCAACGTTATTTCATACTAAACTTTGAAATCGTTCGCTATTTTATGTAAAAACAAATAGCTTCGAAGATACTAACTGACGGATAAGCTGATTCTTTTACTCATTAACATCGTGTATAAATCGTATTGAGAAAAATTGATAAAAGTCGATACATCGTTAATCGACTGGACGAAGTCGAATATGAGATAGGATTTCGAGAAAATAATAATTACTATGGCGCTTGAATATCCTAACATAAAAACAGATCGATGAAACAGGTCAAACCTTGTTTTAATTTTGGATACCCATAGGACACTGCGCTACTGGCTATAAAGACGTTGGGTAGTTATTTTTGAGATGCAAAGTCACCGTGAATATTCGAAATCCGTTCACCACGATGATTCGGATATATTACCTTTCCAAAGAAATAACAAGAAAATAATATTATATCAGAAAATGAACATTCGTAAAATAACAAAGAATAATTTATTCCCAGAATTAATTTGCTACGAAATGAAATTACTTGGAAATATCCGTTTGTTATTTTTCGAGTGATGTAGGTTTTTTAACCCTCAACTGGAACCATTGCATGAGAAACGACCACTTTAGCGTCACATTTATACAAAATTCTAGGATATTTCGTTCTAATTTGTATCATACTTCGATCATCGATCGATGCTAGTTCGATCGCTGACTATCTTTATCACATAAAATAGAAAATACAAATTAAAATAAAGTATCCTAAAATTAATCTACCTTACTGTGAATTATCTACAACCCAACGATACCAATCGAAGACTAAGACATCAAATTATCCAATGCTAATCGTACTGATTGCGTTATCCTAAGTTACAAGCCAGGCCACTAAGAACGCTATGATCATAGATACAGAAACGTATCAAAAATGAACTGCCACGATTCCGATCATTATAATTCACTGGAGATATTTAAAATAGCGATTAGATAAGTTGTCTTATTCGATCCGATTCACTTCCTGCGTAGAATCTTAATAAAATACACTACGCTGCAAGCAAAAACGTTGCGACTGTTCTGTTCTGTGCAACGATATTTTAATGGGCGCCGAAGGCAAACCGTTACATGACAATGGATGAAACAATAAAATAACGCAATTGACCGCTTTCCATGAGCGGAATTGCACTTGATTTACGTTCAATAAATAATTAATTCCAATTTGAGAGCATACGGGTAACAGACGGAAAGTAACCATCGATACGCATGCACTATCAGTCAGAAGTTTAAGACCGCTTCTGTCGCTGTATTACAAGCTGCGCGTAATAACAGCAAATGACACCGGATAGAATTGATTTTCGATCTTAAATTAATCAATAATACGATGTAACGTAACAGAAATAAACAACTTTTGAAAAATGTATAATTAGAAAACAATCTTTTGATTACATGATTCTTGAAACTGTGGAAAAAAAAACGTTCCCCTGTTACAGAAAAATCAAATTAAATTTCCATCGATATAAGAATCAATAAAAAATATGTAACAAATTATATGAAATAAAGTAACATAAAAACCATAAATTAAAAAATTGATACGAAATAATACGTTTCTTCTCTTCTTTTTCTTTCTTAATTTAATCTTCTTTTCTTTTTTTAATTTCTTTTCGCTACGGAGTGGCCTGAAACTCGCAGACGTTAAAATATTTCTGTACATTCGAGGCTTTAATATCAAATAGAATTATATTCGTTCTCTTATTTGCCAAATTATCCGATTGTTGACAAATTTCCTCTCTATGGTCGATTAACTGGTTTTACAAGAGAAAAGAAAACAAGATTGCTTAGTGGTTAATAACGAGTCGTAAAATAGATCCCTCCCTTGATCGGCGGGTACAATTGTGCAAAGAGATGGCAGACAAAAGACAAACGTAAAGTACTAAACACAAAGCGGAACAAAGTGTTATTGCCAGAATGTATGCGTCTGTAACGCAGGCAATTTACCACTTACGATATGAACTTGAACGAAGATACTTTTGATACGATTACGTAAGTATTTATACGTGTGATTGTTTAAAATTTTATCGACATACGTGGGTCAACGATTGCGAAACGAACATTCAGAGAACCAAGGGACGATCTATTTACGAATAGAGCAATAACGGCACGTATTGCACGTCGAATCAAAGAAGAAAAAGTGGAAATGGATAAGATTGAGGAGTGTGATACGTAATTGAGAATCGACTTAACGATGCGTTCCGTGGCAAATTCTTGAGAAAGAATCGCTTAACGCAGCAAAACTACGATAAACATAGCGGTATAATGTGGCTTTAAACGATCGCTTACAACTAATATTTACAAAAGAATCTTTGTACACTCGACGATCGTACACGTTCTTCAAGATTTTCAAAATACAATGAAACTATCCTGTGTAACTTTTATTGCACAGATATGACTCGACGGTTATTATGCGTCGAAAATAAATATTGTTCGAATGCATTAACGCTACATTAAGATGCCGTAATCTACAACCATTTGTAGAGAAGCTATAACGAAGAAAATAATACGCGACGGTGAAAGAGGCCTTATCTCCTCAAATCCTCACGTTATAGCGATAAAGCTTAGACGATTGCCTTGTAGTTGTCCTAGGACAGTTACGAATAATCAATCAGATAAACGTTGGTAACAAGAAGCGTAGTATGAAACGCGTAAGATTATCCGATTTACAGAGGTGCCACGATCGATTAACGACCTTTTATAGCGTGCTGTCCTTACCGAACCAGAAAAACATACAAAGAAACATCTTCGAACTAAGATCGATAAAATATAAAACCAATTGCTCTAAACATTGATAGATCTGATCCTGCTTGTATGACTTGCAGTGTATCGAGCAATTCGATGTGCGCTAAATTTACAGCGTTCAACTATAACGATATGCACATAGGTGAGATAACGTGGAACTTTTATGAGCAAAGTTCCAACGCGAATCATGGCGATTTGCTCCAACTTGGAGATTAGAATACCGAGCGAAATGAATTTGTGCTATTCAAACAATTTTACCGAGTCATAGGTTTACCTTTCTTTCTGAACATATCGAGAGAAACGGTTTTTGTAAAATGTAGAAAAAAGATGAATTTCATACGCGTAAGAAGCGAAACCAGCGATCTAATTATTCTCCAAATTACAAATATCGAAGAACAGGAATAAACGACAAGCTAATCACGATACTGGTAGTCGTGTCGCCGCAACGTTTCATTGTATACATGCGTGTGTGTATGTGTGTGTATATATGCGGATAGAATACCAGCCAAAATTGGACGATTTGAAAGCATAACCTGTCTCGATCGCGCAATTCCTTGCCAACAACTTCCGTGCTACTTTGTTCGAACCAAGCCTATTCTTGTTTTTATTTATTCAACACTGCAGCATGCGCGAGCGAACAATGTGCACGTGTATACTCAAGGTAGGGATGGAATATACATCCTAAAAGTCACCAACGCGACAAAAAAGAACATACATTCTTTTCTCTGTCCAGTTCTTTGTACTTGCGCATTGCTATGACGCGCTCGTTTACCGCAATAGAGAGAGAGAAGATTTCGCGTTTTCCAAACTGCGATCTTTAAACATAAATTTTTCGTGGATATACGTTGATCGATAAAGCAGCTCGTTCGATTTAGGAAAACTATACGTATGGTCGTTAATTACATTCTTGTTGAAAGAAACTCTATTGAAAAACAAACACGCATTTTTTACGTTATATGTATATATGTATATATACATACATATTATATACATGTATATATATAACTCTTATCGAGAATATCCAGATACGAGCACGTTCAAAGCACGCGGTAAAGTAAGCCTCGTTATAATTTGACTTGTTACCCGTTACGTTTCCCTTACCCCGTTCTACCTGTTTTTGCTCAGTTGCAACTTTGATCGTTAAGTTTCGTCTCGTTTGCAAAGAGAACGAAACTGGACGAAGCTAAAGGAAACTGGAAACCGCGGTAATCGTATACCCGATGTTACCGCAACGTGTGCCACAGATTTATCCGAATGTTTCGCATTCTCTATCTTTTTCTTATTACATATATCTAAGCTGGTTAGCTAAAGCCTTGACCAATTCGCCGAAATCGGATTGATACGACGTCCCCGTAATTTAAATTACTTCGTGCCTACGATCAACCTTATAACTTTTCTTATCGCGTAATAATCGAACAGCCCTTTGAATTCGGATCAGAAGTGACAATCTTATGTCACGGCGAAACCATTCGCAGAAAATTTCGTAATATCTGTATATACGCACAGTGTGTGTGGCTTGGAACGAAGCTACGCGTGTGGCGGACCTTCTCGTGCGTGTTTCATTGTAAAATCGATTCTCGTTATACGATCGACGCGTGTCCAATCGTCGACGCTCAGGGTTCGTTGGTGTTGGTGATTCTCTGATTCTCGCGTTCCTTATGTTAACTGGCCGTTGAATTTCATTACCGCCGAGATACGATGCCGTAAAGTATCCCATACGCTCCATCTCGAAAGGAGGTGGTTTTAATGGATTAGAACAAAAAATAAATTAACAAACGCGTCTTTCAGCGATAACACTCTCGCTGTCATTGCTACTGCTGCTGTTCTTCGTTTCGTTATCGTGTCCCTTTGTTCTCCTTCGTTTACATTCCTTTGTTTGTTTTTGTCCCTGGTTTCGTCATTCGTTTAATTTTTTTGGACAGTCTTCTCGCGATCATGTTTTAACACGCTTTTGTATCCCGTTAAATGAAATTTTCACTCCACGTGCACGTACACGCGCAATTTCCTTTGGCCATTTCGCGCGTGTGCATCGTTCGTTTCTCTTTCCTCTTGCACAAATACAGGATTGTCCATACGTTTACATTTCGTACTAAAAGTGCAGCTCTATATAAAAGATAACGTTGCTTTTTTTGCATACAGCAACTTAAGGCGATATAATTATATACGAATACTCTTATAACGTATCTATGTACGAACGCCGGTGGTCCTCTATTAAAAACGTTCCAAAAATGAATCCTTATTTTGCTCGTACTCCCGTCGATCGCATTTTCACAAATACTCTCATTTTCTCGCTCTTTCTCTCTCTCTCTCTCTCTCTCTCTTTCTTTCTTTCTTTCTTTCTCTCTCTCTCTCTCTCTCCCTTTCGTCTCTTCGTTCCTATTTTTCCTGTATCATTTATGCAAGGTACAATATAATTCAACAACGAGCATCTGTAGCCAGTATATAACGAGTATTTTTTTCATTTTTTCTCTTTTAATAAGATTCATAATATGCTATAATAAAGGTCTACCTTTCTCTCTCTCTCTCTCTCTTTCCCCCCTGTTCTCCCACCCTCTCGTTCTCGCCCTTCTCGATCGATGAAAAACGAGTCATATAAATATTACTTCAGCAAAATAATCGTGTGACGACTAGCTATTATAAATACGGTTCGTATCGTGGCAAAAACTTTTCTCCCAACGAGAATGAAGAGAAAAATGCTCGTAGACAGATAGACAACAATGCACGACATGACAATTAATTGTTGGTGTATTTTATATCCATTTTCTCCCGTCAAGTCCCTTTTTTATAAACTTTGTATGTGCTAAAAGAGGCAGGACGATGGAGTAGAGGGGCGTGGTGTAAAAGGGGGTCGGGGAACATTCATAAAGATTACGGGGACACTAGATGTATGTACAAAATAATTCCGGTAAAACCACGTTTTCCGATATTAATAGTACTTATCGAGAGCAATCTTTACACACGCCGCCTCTAATAAACCGGATAATAAAGCCATCTTAGGGAACACACACATATACGTGTAAATATATATATATATATATTTATATATAATAAATAAATAAATATATATATATATATCGTCATTCTCATACGTCAATAATGTCAGTTACTTGGCTGAAAAAAAAGATGTTTCTCTTGTAAAAAGTCGTAGTGGTGACAGTGACTATGAGTGTGAGCACACGCGTACGCGTATGTGTATGTGTGTTTATATATGATATCTGTGTATGCAATATATCGTAATTTTTTCCAATATATTATATCTCTTTTATTTCTGTCAATCTCAATACGTTCAACGACGTCGATTACCGTGTTTCCTTCGTATACTCTTTCCATTTCCGCTCTTCTCAGAAGTCCACAATCACAAAATAAAGCGCAAAATCTGCCATCTGCTTCTTACGTGCTCGTCTTCCTTAGTTTTCTTTCCCTTTCTCGACTCTTCTAAGCCACCTTCCTTCCTCTATAAAACTATTGCATCGAGCGTGCCCGCAAACGCACAGAATCATACACGCGCACGCACACACCTGTATACGCTTTCTTTCTATCTTGCATACATGTAATACATTCTCTCGTTTACACTACTCGCTCCCATCCTCCCGCTCTCTTACTTCATCTATATCCCTCGCCCGAAGAAAAGCGAGCAGCGAGCGACGAACCATCGCGTATGAATGTATACGCGATACGTGTGACCATCTTGAATCAATGTGGGAATTCAAAATTCGGCGAATTCCTTGGCACACTTCTCCGTCAACGAAATCCTCAGCGTCTCCTCCTCGTAGTCATCGAAATTGCTTGTGTCTCCCGGCCCTTTGCATTTTGGTATGAACGGGGCCTCGATTTTCTTTTGGAAGACAGCTATCCAATCGGTACTGGCGAACCACTTGTGACCCTTGATATCGTTTACACCGGCCTTCAGATTACCGTACCTCTTGGTTAGATCGACTTGCAGCAAATTACGTAGTAAGTCTTTCAGATCGGATCCAAAGTGCGAGGGAAATCGTGGCTTTCCGCTCACGATTTTCTCGTAGATTTGAATTGGTTGATCAGCGAAAAATGGTGGATAACCGGCAGCCATCTCGTAGACGAGGACACCGAGCGCCCACCAGTCTACAGCTTTGTTGTATCCTTTGCTGAGAATTATTTCAGGCGCGAGATATTCCGGCGTGCCACATAAGGTCCATGTTCTACCCTGTACCCTTTTGGCAAAGCCGAAATCCGTGACTTTCAAATAGCCCTGTGAATCGATTAACAGATTCTCCGGCTTGAGGTCCCTATAGATTAAGTCGAGGTAGTGAAGGTACTCGAACGCTAATACGATTTGTGCCGCGTAAAAGCGCGAGTGTGGTTCCGAGAAGCGACCAACCTTTCGTAGATGGCTAAACATCTCCCCTCCTGGGACATATTCGAGGACCATGTAAAGATAAGAGTTATCCTTGAAGTGAAACCGTAATGAAACCAGGAACGGGAAGCTAATCGCCTGCAGTATCCTCTTTTCGTTAAGCGTGTGTTCAACTTGCTTAAGTTTCACGACCTTCTGCTTGTCGAGTATTTTCATGGCATAATACTCTCCGGTCGGCTTGTGTTGCACTATCATGACACGGCCGAACGAGCCGGTGCCCAGTGTCTTGATTCGTTCAAAGTCGTCAAGGGCAGCAGTATTTGTAGGGTTTCTTTTCCATTTGTCCTCGAACTCTTTCTTTGCCTTGTCAAGAAACTCCTTGACGCTCTCGGCAGCGTCAACCTTTTTGTTTGCAGTCGCGGCATTGTTGCCCATCTTAGCAGCCGCGCTCGTACACGAGCCTGCCAGGGCTCTACACAGCTCAAGAAGTTCCAGAAGACCGCGTCTTCGTTTTCGTTTTCGTTTGCCCTCTTCCGTAGTCGAGCCTACCACGGCCCTGCCAATCTCCACTCTCTTCAAAATTGTTGCTACCTTCTACTACTTTCCTCCACTATCCGTACTCTCTCCTATCGTCACCAACGATTCGCAATGTTTCTATCCTATACTTGTCAATGCTGGCCCTACAAGACCTATAAACGTCCGAGAGAGCACTCACACTTACGCAAGAACAGGGCACACGCGCGCACTGCACGATGGATACACTCCTACCGATGGCGGACTATCCTTCCCTTTTTTCGCCAGTATTCGATTCACTTAATAACAACCGTACGACTTCTCGCACTCGGTACGAACCTTCGTGGTCCCTTAATTGTACGACAAAGTGAGACCGAGCGATTTCGCGCGGAAAAATGGGTCAGCATTAATCCTCGTCCGCACCTTGCGCCATCTTTCCTGTCAATTGTACTAGCCCGTCGTTGTCGTCGTCTACTAGAGCTGTCTCAGTCTTTCCTTTCTTATCCTTCTCTCTTTATTTCTGCCTTAACTTGTCGCTGTACTCTCGTACACCGCAGCAACTTTCTTTGACGTGTTCGTTCCACTGGTTCGACAAATCAAAACACTAAACACTAGTCGGTTCTCACAGTAATAGTACCGAGTGGCTAAATCGCAACTCCGGAACGACAGTTTGAAACAAGGGTCGAACGGAACTAGAGAATGACGTCGGTTTCGATCGCTCTCAACCCTCGGAACGCTTGCGAAACGTCGTCTGCTCAACTTACGCGACACGCACACCACAAACTTTGACTCGGACGTATTAAATGAACATCGCGAACAAACGTGTATCGCATCTTCTCGCGATAGAAAACAAAGTACGCGCTATCGCACTAAACACACGAATTCTTTTACTATAGTCGCGGACTGATTTTAAGCTCTTAAAGCGAAGCAGGCGGCGATAGCGGAGATAGTCGGTACCGTTCCTAAAGATGGCGACGCGGCTCGCTCCGCTTGTTCGTTCGGGATTTCGCACGGATGCGAAAATGACGAAGTATCGCTCTACGAAGCGAGAGAGCTACTGTAATGCACAGATCGGATATTGCTTCCACTTATCGCCGATAGATGTAGCATTGGAAGGTTTAACGACTTCCTCGATCAGTGCTGCCACCAAACGAAAGCGTCAACGTACTTTCGATTCAAAGTAAACTCGTTCTTGCTTCCAAATCCTCAAGGTTTTCGTACATACTGAATCACGAAATGTTTCGGACAACTGCTTGTGTCGCTATTTCAATGGGGAATGTGATTCTCTGAGTCATCGCGAAAACAGTTACGATATCTTGTGAATTATCTGTCGGACTTATCATTGAAGTTCATCCATTTAATAATACTAATTATTAACTTTTAAATTCTTATATTAGCTTGATTAAATTCTACGGTTACCATGTAAACTTAAGGTTCGTTCATTGTACTAAAACTTCAGTGATGTCATCATATATATTTTATAAAATTTTTTATTATTTTTACAAACTACGTATTATAGTTTTACGATATTGATGTTTGTAGTAAAGATAGAAGCCTGCTTGTCTTAATGTGTTAAGCTATTTTTACTCGCTCGGAATTGATATACGTATTTTTTAATAATCTAAAACAACTGCAAGGTTACGACTACGTTTTTGTCATTGTATTTAGTGTATTTTACTTAACTAATATAATCTATATTATAATTATTTTGCTATAAACTAATCTTACGTTACGTTTACTATTAATTTGGTAATTTCATGGTTATTAATAATAATCGACCTGCTTGTGGTATTGAACCGTGGTACGCACACGGAAGGTTGAACACTCGCTGACCTGTGATAATCCTTTGGCAATTAGTTTCTAACTGTAGGTAGGCATATAGGCACAATTTTAGAGCGGTTGATACGGTCGAGAAAGCTAGGTGGAGTCGGTGGGGGACGGGACGAACCGGTTACGATCGAGTCAAAAAGGTACGACCAGGTCAGGCCTTTCGGATATATACAGTATTTTTGTGTACAGCCCTGGTGCATTGCACATCAGACTAGACAGAGATGACAAAAGACACGTCCATCGAGGTTGCAATCGGATGCGTTACTTATATTAACTTTAGTTTGTTTCTACCCTATGGGATGCGCGCGACCACGCGTTCTATTGATTCCATGACCCGAAGCTGAAAGTGGTGTGCCAATTTGTGGAAGGAAAGTAGAATCGACTCTATTATATCTTGAATACTCTTTTCGAAAAATTGTATATACAGTATACTTTAGTAAATTTGAGCCCCAAATGATGTTAATCTATTAAAAGACTGAATATTTAATACTAAAAAAAAACACTATCTACATATAAATTACAAAAATTGTGTATATATTGGTATAAAACATAAAAAAAGGCGTATATAAATAATTGTTACTTTCGCATGTGTGTATGTTTAATACTTTTGAAATGTCTCGCTTCCTTTATTCGTTTTGCTTCTTGACACTTTCTAATGCACAAAGAAAATAACGAAACAAACGTAATAGGCAAAATAGTATATAGCGTGGTGAGTAAGAACGCATCAAGAAAAGTGGGAATTTAGTCCAGCGAAATGAAAATTTAGATGCGTGGATGCTATCTTTAGTTTGACACTGCAAAGCCAGTGGAAATATAGGTTACTGTCATCGAAATAGCTTGTGGCTGAACACTTCCACTGACCCACTAAACGAAATTTAATTTTATCAAGTAATACTGCATGTCACCAACTACATGGTTATTTTCGTTAATAAAATATCTTGAAATATTAAGAAAGTTCTACAGTAGTTGCCAATATATATATGCATGTATCATGAAGAAATTTGCTTATTAAAATAACTTTGATAGAAAAGACAAAAATGTACATATAAAGATAAATCCAGTTCACAACGTTTTGAACAAAGAAAAAAAGACATATGTATATATATCGTTTCTTTCCTATGTAAATATCGTGCATTTATTTGTTCCATATGTAACATAAATAAAAGTGCACTTGAAACACTTTCCTTTTGGAAAGTTTCATTGAAAACCTAACTCAATCTGATATAAATGTGTCTTCAAGGTTTTACCGTGTAAAGGATATTCAAAAAGAAGCATCTGCTTTGCACATCTTCACCTGCATCGTCTATAGCAGCTGCTTGGTGTTATCTTCGTGCTTACGTAGACCTCTGGCACGTGGCATGTTCGGTAGGACAAAAAATACATTTCTTAACAGACTAAACTAACACGTTTGCATGATTTTTGCAAATATGAAGATTGATAAATCATCGAATATTCGTTTTTATAGATAAGATTATCAGAAGAAAAACGATTCTTTACTTTCGTTTTCGAAATTATTACATCTCGATGTAAGTATAGGATAGATTATTGTATTCAAACTTTCTACAGTGTGATGGAATAAATTTTGAAAACGAATTTAATATCTACTTCCTTCTCATTTACAGAAAAAAATAAAATATATTTATATATGTATATATAATCATATATAAAAATAATAATTATATTTCTCTACACTAGGTAATGAGATGTCGATATATATAAATATGTATTAATTTTTATATGTGTATGTACATCTATATATATATACTAGCATACACATAGTATCTAATGTATGCATATTGTGTATCATAAGGGCATTTAGAGTGTCATCATGAGTTAAGTTACACCTCTGATAAAATGCCCGTAAGACTTTTAGAACTAACGTCGCAATAAAATAATACTGTAGCGAACAGGAAATGTAATCTTTTACTATTTTATGGCTAAAAGCAACCTGTAACATGGACGTAAATACAGCAGAGCCTTTTAGACGGGTGCGTGGATCAACCTGAAAGCATCGCGCACCTTTTAATATACACCGGAAATAGAACCATACGCGAAACTTCTAGAACTTTCTGCACCTTGCTTCCGTTTATATCTTATATATTATCCATAGTATACATTAAATTTCATTAGAATCGAGCTAATATCTTAAATCATACATAAGATTTAATAGACATTATTTTGAAAGTGATGCGGGACAAAATACATGTTTCTCAAACAATACAACGCTAGCGCCGGAAGCACGGGGATTTTTTACGAGCTTCGTAAGACAGGATCCAATTGGCTAGTGTGTTATTTGGAGGGGCATTAACAATGCGGTAGTGGCGAAGCTACCACTACCATGAACCTAAAACCACATAATCATTGACAGATTTAGATAAATGTATTGTACTTCACATGTGTCGTATTTTTCATTTGAAAGAAAATAAAACTAATACCATAATTAATTACTTGAATTCCATATTATTTGTGATCCACAGGCATTTTTCGAAGAAATTTCATTGAACCATGATTCATGATTAAAATATAGCGGCAAATTATTTATACGTATTCTAAGGTCATATTCGTCGGAAAATAAATTGAGATTAATAAGTACTATTGATATTATTTATTAAACATATTGCAGTAATTCTTTGCTCTTCTGTGAAAGAATTATATATCAACGATTTCTAGTCATTTTAAAATTATATTTACAACGAATAGTTTAATAAGGAACCGAATCGTGCGCCATCTGTAAACGAGCGGGAAAGAAAAGTGTTTGAAGGCCGCCGGCCTGCCGGCCGGACCGAGTAACTCGGGTCTTGGGCGAATCAGTGTGCGAGTCTCTCTGCCATTTGCGCGTCGGTACGCGACTACGCGGCAGTGGTGATACCAGAATTCTACGTCTGCTTACCGGTGCGTAAAAAACGCAGGCCTTATTAAGTGCGTTTTGTATCTAAGTGCTTTATCGATCACACGATTAAATTGATCAGCATGGCGGATACAGAAGCTAAGTAAGTACTACAGATTTTTTTTATTGATCTATCGTAAGGAAATCACACGTTTTCACTGAATGCTTTTGTTATGTTTCTTTGCTGGATACAGTAACGGCGGGTCAACAATGCTTTATAATCCATATTTTTTACTTATCTGTTTTAAACGATTCAAGTTTGAAGTCGATTCTCTTGTTTTGATAACTTTATTTGTATCGCAATTGTTTGTGTACTTTTGAAAGCGTACGTAGTTTGTACAGTCACGAGAAAGGGACCACAGTGGAGGAAGAGGGGATGCTCTCTCTCTACGTGATATTCTCAGCTTGATTCGTAAGGCGCGTTACGTTCTCAGGATTACCTGCTTTTGCCATGACATGTGCTCTACTTGTAGAGCCGCTTTTCTGGCGGTATCGTTTACCCTTTTATTTTCCCCACTTGTAGCTTCAGTTATACGAGACATGCGATAAGAAACTACAACGCGTGTTCGTCTATTATTAATATTTATTTTATGAATATTTTAATCGTAAAGACCCCAGTTATTTGTTATCTATGAATCATTCGATATTTTTGCGAATATAATGGATAAACGTGACTGCAAATTAAAATAAAATATTTTATAATGCGTTAAATTGTAATTTTTCAATATTAACAATAGTTCGAACATTTTTATATAAACACATAGAATGTTGATTATGCATGTATAAAAAGAACTCTCGCTCTCTCTAGAAATATTTTGCGGATGATTGTACACGTATCACCTTAAAAAGAAAATGGACAACGTATCGATCTGTTCTCCCTTACCGACTAAATGTCAGGAATACTCGCATTTTACTTTTTACTAAACATTTCTAAGAAAAAATACATAATATTTGTAATAATAAACATCAGTAATATTTAGGTTTATTTAAGTTCCGATAATATGGGAATAAATACATATGTAACATTAATGTATATATTACGGTCCACGAACATCCACGGTTTGCCGCGCCGAAACAGTCTGTATGTATTGCGTACGTATACGTGTGTAACGTTCTGTTGAAAGGAGTATGTTGCGGGAAGGGGGAGACGAAAGCAGGATAATATTAACATCGGTAGGTGCCGCTACGGTTGGCGTCCTATCTCTATTTCTTTTCCTTGTCATTCCATCTCTGTCTGTAGCTATAAAGTTTAGCCGCTCTAAAGAATCACGTATCATGATAGAATAAGTATTTCATTCATACGAATATGAATGTCATGGATATTTTCAGTACAGAATATATTACATATTCTGTTTTACTTTATATGAATTATTTTAAAATTAATGTAGGCACATAATATATCTCAATTTTTAGAGACACCAAAGTTGTTACAACTCCAGAAAAGAAAGTAGTGGAGGAAGAAAAGAAAACTGTTCAAGAAGTTGACGAAGATTCAAAAGCATCTGAAAATGGAGATGCCAAAGAAACCAAAGAAAATGGCTCAAACGAGGAAAAAGAGTTAGAGGAGAAAGAAGTAGAATCAACAGAAAATGGGGATTCTACAGGTAATATCATGAAAATTACAACAAAAAATTTTTTAATTTGTGATTAAATACTTAATATGTTCAATTGTATGCATATTAATAATTATACTAAGAGTAAACTATATAAGTAGTTAATATATTATTAATGACTGTAGAAAATGCAACTTACATTTATAAGAATAAAATTAAAATGATTGATTCTATTCGTAGATGCTCCCATTGATAGTTGTTGTATAAAGAGGAAATCAACGACTTTGAGTGAAACAACAGAAGAAGCTGCCACTGATGGTGCCAGTCCTGAAAAAAAAACAAAACTTGATGAGAAGAGTGCTGAAACGGAAAGCAATGGAGAAGCTGAAGCTACGGCCTAATATTTTTTATGTTTACTGCAGATTTAATCTATAGATGCAATTTTAAGCTAACTGACAAGTCAGAACACCTAAAATTTGTTATCCATGCATCGTCATGGTAGACGAGCATTAAAAACGAAAATTTCAATATTGTATTAATGACTTTTTGTGTTCAGACATTTTATGTGTGTTTATTGCAACCATTTTTATGTCTTTGATTGGCAATAGTATATATCCATAACATCATTACAAATTACCATCTTAGATACCATTCATGTTTCCTAAGTTCTCCATTGACGTCCATACATTACACATGTATACACACAGATTTAATCTTACAAAATGAGGAGATTACAAATAATATAAATAATATATTTCTGATACGTAAAAGTAGATGATAGTGTGGTGCTTGAGAATGATATTTGTACGAAGATGTTTCATATATAATTCTCATTCTTTCTGATGCACAGACATATGTTAACACTTTATATCGAAGATGGAAGAAACAATATTTGTTTGCAAATCAAAATACATTCCTAAAATACCTTAAAACTCACCCAGTGTTCATTAGTATTTTTTGACGAAAGGTGTAAAACGAATCCTATTTGTGAATTCTTACAAATACTTGTTTCACACATGTATGTACATATATAATTTGACGTTCACCAAACGCAAAACAGAAATTACACAAATTGTAAAGTGTGTGAGTGCGCTGACGTTAATACGATATATAGTTTAAATGATTTGCAATTAAAGTTTAAACTACATTTAATAAAAAAAGATATATATACTATTACTCAATCATCAGAATTATCGAAATACTTAATATATGTAATAACTTGTATGTACAAAAAAATACTGGTGAGCAAAAAACATGTAATGTTATTTGCAATAACAGCGACGGAAAATACTATACTAACAGTTTTACTTTAGTGAAAAGTTGCATATCAAAAGTTTGAAGTTTATGCGTGAATAAAATAATATAATAGCATACTTTTAAACACAATATGATAAGTGCAAAATTAAAAGCAATCTAGTGTATATGTACCAATATAACCAATTGATTAATAATGTTAAACACGAAGATGTTACTATATCATCATTAGTCTTCTTTAGTTACTATCTAGTACAAATTGTTCTCATATAAAGTATGATAAAATCAGAATAACTCTGTAATATTATTTCTTACGTAATAAATATTACATGTGAATTGGCAAAATTGTATAAAATTATATTAAAACATATCCAGGGACAAGATAAAATTAATTAAAACGCAATGTTATTATATTTGTGTTAGATTTCTATATTCTTATAATTTACACAAAATACGAGATGGTTGTTATTAAGAAAACTATTTGTGTACAAAGTAATATATCTATCTTTGTATATAATATTGCAATTTATATATAATTCAATAAAAAGTTATTTACTATCAGTTTACAGAACCTGAACAATTTTAACATAATACATTAAAGAATTTTTTTGTACTATTTGTATTTTGATTTCACATACATGATATACATATTTCTATATACATGTATATATAATGTCATATATCGCTATTGATTTTGAATCTAAAGGAACCATGTATAATTTCCATGTTTATTATTTCATTTACTTTAATATTATGTATTTATATTATATCAACTGAAATATTATATTCATGTTTGCCTATATTAGGTCTTCAATTTTTTTTTATATATTGTTGGTCCAGTTTAGAATTGAAATAAAATTAAATAATTTGCTGAAATATATGTATGTGTGAGGGTATGAAATTGAAATTTCTGATTCGATCAATTCAATTAAAAATAAAAAATATTTCCTACCAAGCGGATTTTTTCCTGCTGTTTATATAGCTAAATAATATAAAATATAATAATTATAAATATTCTTATAGTTAGAATTGTTTAAATATTTTTAAATCACATACAGTGTCATCTATAGGAAAATTACAGTTTAAAGGAATATAACAGGTGTGAGAAATATGTATATACTGCATTGTTCGTAAGTGTCGTTATCAATTCGAATGGCATAGAGGCAAGAGAAGTACTGCATTATATCGCTCATCGTCATGCGTTGCTATATTGCTTTATTTGTATCTGACACTTTCAGCCAATACGCATGTTTACTTTTATGATTGTGTTGAGTCTATCGGAAATAACCAATTAGGTCCGCATTCCTTCCGTCTGTCAACGTACCAGTAACGCATTATGTGTATTTACTTACATATATATCGGGCGGTAAAATAGTGTGTTTATTTGAATTGTGTGATTATTATGTAAATATAAGAGTTTATAATCTAGTGATATATTTGACAACTAATTTTATCTCGTTGTATTGTTTACGTAATTATATAAAATGAATACAAAACCGACTTTTTCTAAACCTGGTAAGTACAATTGTTTTTGAACATATCCGTACAAACATGTAAAAGCATAATGTTTACTCTTTTTTTATTTTTATTTCCTAATATTGTATTCTTTTTAATTATAACTGATTTAAAAGTAGTATTATACACTGACATTATCATATGTTGTAAAACTTATTCTTACATATATATATATAACAATTGTATGACATAACCTATTGAACTTATGAATGTACATATATGTGTCTTATTTCCATATGTTTATATATATTATATCGAGAAAAATTTTATATTCATCTGATAATTTTTTTAATTACAGGTGATAGTATGTGGCAAGAGGATAAACCAGATACAGAAGCCCATTCGTCCACACAATTTGTATACAATGCTCATCATTCGCTTGCACTTAATATGCAACGTCAACGATTGCCTACATTTAAGTATAGAAGTCATATTATATACTTACTGGAAAAATATCAAACATTAGTCTTAATCGGTGAAACTGGATGTGGAAAGAGTACGCAGTTACCTCAGGTATGCCTTTATTTTAAAGGAATTATATTATAATATAAGGAGGTGAAATTTAAATAAATAACATTGTGATGACATGGATTTTATTGTATGTAGTAATATAATTCTACATGAATTTATGATATAAAATATAATGTAACATACACATATATATAACATATTTGCTGTTGCCATTTATATAATCTTTTACAGAGTTATACATATTTCAAACATGCACTTATAAAAATTGGGATATTCTCAATATGTCATAATTAAATTTTTCTTGCTTATTTTTTAAATTTTATGTAACATTTATAGTAGTTGTGTAATATTTTTGAGTGAGAGTTCTGATTTTTTTGATTGAGAGTATAAATATACATGATTTTCCAAATAACTTAATTGATTGTTTTTCATATACATAAGAAGACTCGTTTTGAATCTATAAACGTAAATTACTCGTACACCATCTGATGTAAATACATAGTTTTTCTCTGTATACGGACACATAAAGCTCATACGAAGATGACACGTTTTTGTATTACCTATATACCATATACCTATATACCATATTACCTATATACCATATTAACCTATTTATATCGAAAAATCACTAGCTTAGGAGATATCTTAACTTTAATATGTCAAATATAATGTATGAAAGACAAGGAAAGACGCGGAGCGGTATTCTTATGTTTACGTTGTCCTTGTTTATGCGTTGTCTTCAAAAGAACTACTTACACCAGCTTATGGCCCCCTCGAAATCATTAACTTCTTATCTGAGCTATCTTTTTATACAATTGATACATTGTTGTAGGAGTAATTTGCGTATATAAATTAAAATCGGTCACTCTGTATATACAGAGTGTCATTGAACTGGTAGTACAAACCGAAAGGAAGTGAATCTACATGAAAAAACAAGTCAAATATATGTAATAAGATCCTTTCATAAAAATTACATTCTTTTTTTCCGAAAAAAAATAAATTTGAAAATTTATTATGCGCGTGTACCAAGATAGCTCTTAACTAAACATATGCAAACTCTATTTTCTTGAAAACGAGGCTTGAAACAAAAAAATTTTATTTTAAAATGTATCGTGTACGCATATTTAGTTCATGATTAGTTAAGTTTAAGCATATTTGACAAATTTTTTAACTCAATTTTCTCGAAAACAGTGCATTATATGACAAAATTTTATTCTATATATTTTTGACTTTACTTTTCATGCATTTATCTTCTTTTGGTTTGTACCATCTGTTCAGTAACACCCTGTATATTATATTTACTTATTTAGGATTTCATTTACATGATATGTGTACAAATATCATAAAAATGTTATTTATATATAATATATATATATAATAGAAATTTTGAGTAATATATAAACTCGCGCACGCGCACAGATGAAGATCTTGTATCGCCATTCTGTTGTGGTCAAACAAATTCGACAGTACATCATCATCTTTTCAAATTGTAATGTGTGTTAGTCAAATTTTTCGAGAACTGTACTTTTCATAATAGTTATACCTAATAACTTAGTGAATAATAATGTGTCGTAAAAAGAAATATCATGGAATAACAATTTTTATAGTTCGCTATTTTGTTATCGAACAATTAAAAAAAGAAATTATCTGACAACAGTGCGATTGAAATATTATTATTATGAGAGAAACTCATGCTATTTTGATAAATAACGTGATAATGTATTAAATAAGGTATTTGAAACGTTTTCCAACACCAAACGTTTTCCAAAAAAAATATACCGGCATGGTATCAGTTAATCGATCAAAATAGTATATTCGGAATCTGCAGATTTCATCTAGCCATGTGTAGTCACGGCACACTGATCCGTGTCCCATGAATACGTCGTCCATGAATATTGCAACATTATTAACAATGGAGCAAAGTACTGTTAATTATTATGATAATTCTACTGTACTCGTAATCCTGCAAAAAAGTATGGTACAAAAATCATCGTAATCAAATTAGTAACGTGATGAGTTTAAAAGTTGAAAGACTGGATTTTTTATTTGCCATACACAATTCATTATATCGAAAAAGTGAATATCACAATAATATTATTGCTTCAAAATAATAAACGAACGTGTTTTTTTATTCGTGTTATATTAAAGAAGTATCTATAATAAAATTACTGAGCAATGAATTTATTGCTAATATTTAATAGCAGTGTGCATTTACATTAACTACATATCTCTAATATATTTGGATCTATTATAAAGAAAGAAAGTGATAATATAACATAAGGAACATGTTATAAAGATATAACAATATATTTACCAATTTATACAAACGTGCCAAATTTATATACAAAATGTTTGGTTCAACAACTCTAGTAAGCAGGTCATTCCTAGCAATTTTGATATTAATGACATTATACTTCCTTGGAATGGATCTTCTATTGTATTCTAGAACACAAAATTATGATATAAGACCTATATCAAATGGTACACAATATGTTTCAATCATACCTTGTGATTTTAATCCATTGTGTACAGTGACTGTAAAAGGATTAATGCTTGATCATCCAAATCATTTTCTCTTGAGTCCTCTTGCAGCTATCATGGATGATCTATTGCATATAAGCAGTTCTTGGATATGGGTGACACCAAACACAATCAGTTGTTTCCATGTATTAATAGCAGTGCTGGCTGGTAAATGTGTTTCCAGTGATTCGTTGTCTTATAGACGTTTAGGTGTAATACTGTTTCAAGCAAGAACATGGTTGGATGATTTGGATGGACATGTTGCTAGAAAAAGAGCAAATATTAATGGTGAACGATCAGACATTGGCTCATCTGGTTACATTATCGATGGTATTTGTGATGCTTTTGGATGTGTTGCTTTTATTATTGGCTTATATCAATTTCTTGCTCGTAACTCAAGTAGACGTGGAGGTTACGATAAGCTACCACAACTTCCTGTATCTTCAGTTTTGGAACCTGGAAATGTAACTTTGAAAACTTCAAATGCAGCACTTCGTAACATATTACTTATAGCCGTCCATTTGTTCCTCAGCAGTGCCGCCTGGAATCGATATATATATTTATATCAAGATCTTCTTGAGACTGAATATAGAACAACACCGATTAGTAGAGAACATTTTTATGCTAGACAAACAGCTATATTTAGAAGTTTATCCTTTACAATAATAACCCTTTGTTGGAAATTTTTGAATTTTCATGCTGTCATGGATTACTTGCTGTTGGCAATATTTTTTGATCGTATGCGGGAGTATATTAGACTTGTAAAGTGGTCTTTATATGTTCTTGTATTATTACTTGTTTATGTAACTGAATTTCATTATTTACGGGCCTATACATACATGCAAGATGTACCATCATTGATTGATGAAGAGATATCTTCATCTGATGTCTACACTCAAGGATGACAGTGTGAATCTTGGAAAGCATTATTTTCTACTATTTGTTACTGGTGATATAATGACTAAGATGACTATTGTACACTGAAATTTGCAAATTTGTCTACGAAAGCAATATGTTGATAAAATTTTTTGTATTTTCTATTTTTCTGCATGTATTTTATATACACAGCAGACTGATGTATAAAAAAATGTGTATAACCCCTTAAATGATAAGGTAATAATACTTTATTACGAATTAGCTTTATAAAATATATATGTTAATGTTCTATTATAAACAAAATTTTCAACAGTAATTTTCCTAAATTATTTGTAGATCGTAATATGTATTAATTCACGTGTTGCTCTTTTAGATAAACATAATTATTAGTAATAATTAATACTGATTTACATCACTAAATATTTAATAATACATTTGTCTTCCTAGTTAAGCATTTATATAATATGTTTCAATTTCATATTTGTAGAATGTGGTTATTAAAATATATTGATTAATTGTCATAGATTATTGATTTTGGTGGTATTGCTGTGATGTTCGATATTATTGGAATACTTGGGGATAATGTTAATATCTACTTATACGATAATAAACAATAACTTACACATACTATTGAAAAATAATAATGGACCTTAGCGTAAATTTTCATAAAATGTTTTCATAAAATGTCAAACCTCATAAAATGTTTTTAGTATGCTTTTTATACCTGTACTTCAAATTATCGCATATTTTGACTGTCATTATTATATGCAATAATATTGTATATATGCAATAAAATTGTATTATATGCATAACATAAATATGTATTTATATTAAATATAAGAGTTAAGTAATATATATTGATACGTGATAATTATTAACACTAAATGCATCAAAGTATATAATTTTGTACTTTTTATTTGTAATAATTAACAACTTCTTGCTTTTATCCGTATTTCTAGCGTGATCCAGTGTCGTGAGTTACCTAATTAGAGTACTTGTAAGTTTGCCGAAGTCGAAGTAAATCGTTATAACAAGCTTTCAATAAAATCCGATATAAATATGACATTAAACCACAAAGACGTAATACATGTAATATTCCGCCGTTAGCGATGTGCGCAAGATTAAAGCTGGTAGTAGATTTCAGAGAATAGAACTTCACGTTAAACTTGGAAAACGATCAGTGCATTCAACAGTGTACTAATCAAGTTTATGTGAAATATAACTTTTGCTTATCTGACATATAGTGTTACTTTACTTAGCCTTAGTCATCCTGCGATAAGAGTATCAATTGATTTTTATGTTAGGTAAAGTTTTATAACTATCGAATATTACGTAATAACACATCAATGTCTATTACAAAACTTTTTGTCTAAAATAAATGCAGAACAATAGTTTATTTATATTGAGGCAATTTACTTTTTATAGTTTTCGCAAAATGTATTTCGTATCTATTTGGTAGTTCCCCTCAAATATGAGGAGAATTACATTATTAGATAAAATAAAATCGTATTAGTATTTTCAAGAATATAAATGTAATATTGGATTTTTTCGATATTCATTACATATTTCTTTATTATGCATTTATCATTATTCGTATTACTCATATCATATCATTCATCGTTTTATTATTATTATCATTATTATCTTAGAACGTTTCCAGTATCAATAAGCGTTTATTTTATCTTTTACTGTTTCTTTTGTATTTATTATTAATAGTTGATATTTGTTTTATAAAAATTATTAGAAGCAATAAAATTTTGATAAAAAATCAATAAAATTTCGGTATTCCTAAATCATAAAATGTTTAGTATATTTTCTTAATGTGCTAAACGTATATTACTATAGTATTCAATTAATTACAAATGTACATATATTTATTTTTATGAATTGCATACATAGGAAGTTTTATTTTCTGAAATGATTACAGTATCTTCTTGAAGCAGGATGGTGTACAGATGGGAAAATGATTGGCATCACGGAACCAAGAAGGGTTGCGGCTACATCTTTATCTAATCGTGTTGCTGATGAACGCAATTGTATTTTAGGCACCGAAGTTGGTTATTCTATACGTTTCGATAATTATACGGATGAAACGACAAAGATCAAGGTATTATTTTAGACGTTAATTGAAGCAGCAAAGAAAATAATAAATTAAAATAATAGAGAATTTTAATTATCAGAAAACTAAAAAATAATAAATGTTAAATGAAGTCAGTAATTATATAAAATTATATTATTGATAGTATATGACAGAGGGAATTCTGCTTCGTGAATTAATGAGCGATCCTTTGTTGACAAGTTATTCTGTAATCGTGGTGGATGAAGTACATGAAAGGACCCTTCTTACGGATATTATTATGGGACTTCTGAAAAAAATAATCCGGGTAATAGAACATTATAAATTCATAAACATTTAATTTAATTTAAGTCTAAGTAAAAGATATACTAATTATCATGAAAAATTTGTTTTATTTTAGAAACGAAAAAGTTTACGAATTGTCGTTTGTTCCGCTACGGTCGATGCAGAACAGCTTCGAGATTTTTTCAATACAAATACAACGAAGGATTCCGCAAAAGATACTGCAGTTATACTTACCGTCGAAGGTAGACTTTATCCAGTGGATGTATTCTACATTATAGGTATATCTATATATATACATATATAAATACATCACATCATTCTATAAATAATACGTTAGGTCAATTGATAAATAAAGCAATTGGTTTACAATTATTAATCATCAATATCTTTTTCTTGTTTTCTACAATGATTTTTTACTTGTTTCCTAATGTTCCAATTTTTTAAACATGTTTTTTTATCTCCGTTTCGAGTTTTTGTAATATATATATTACCTATGCGACGTCTTATAATTATGTCATGAATATGTTCTCATTTTTGTATTTTATTTTAGAGCCAGTAGCTAATTACGTGACCAGTGTCATAGATACTGCTTTGAAAATTCACGAAAATGAAGAACCTGGTGATATTCTAGCGTTTCTTACGGGTTTGGACGAAGTAGACCAAGCAGTTTCTCTTTTATCAGAGCATGCAAAGCTCATAAAGGAAGGCAAGCGTGAGTAGAATACGGAATGATACCCTCGTCATCATTGTCCTGTTATATAACTGTCCGAAGTTTAAAATAGATCTTATCAGTGCCTTTGTATTGTTCTTTTTCAGAGAAACTTTTACCTCTGGCTATGTACGGATCTCTTCCGAACTCAGAACAACTGAAAGTATTTTGGAGGGCTGCCAAAGACACTCGTAAAGTTATCGTAGCCACGAACATTGCAGAAACATCTATCACTATTCCAAATATTGTTTATGGTATGAACTTAATAAAACATCGATTTTGTTGGTTGTATTCTAAGTAAAATATTCCTATTTTTTATTGTTATTGTTTAAATATATATATAAGACCTTATATAAAAAAATTCAGTTTAAACAAGATTGAAATTTTTATCTAGTTATTGATTGTGGCTTTGTAAAAGTTCCATGGTATGAGGCTGAAACTCAGACAAATTCTCTCGTAATTGTTCCTGTGTCCAAAGCATCCGCGAATCAACGTGCTGGTCGAGCGGGTCGTGTCCGAACAGGAAAAGCATATAGGTATACAATATGTGTAAATGTTTAAATTATTTAAAAATTTAATAAAAATTTATTTGTTGGTTTATATTTTCATATTTTGCAAAGTTTTATCTAAAATCTAGATTGTACACAAAGGAAGCATACTCAGAACTATTTGAGGCAACGCCACCAGAAATGCAACGCTCGGATTTAGCACCGGCGATCTTACAATTAAAAGCTTTAGGAATTGATAATGTATTAAGATTTAACTTTCCTTCTGCTCCACCAAGTAAAAATCTTCTTACTGGGCTGGAATTACTTTATGCACTAGGAGCAATTGACAGTAATGGAGAATTAACGACACCATTGGGCGTAACAATGGCAGAAATGCCATTGGAGCCTGTTTTGGCAAAATCTCTTATAGTATCAGGTAAAGTTTAATGAACAGACTTAATTCCTCATAAATTTTCCATATAAATCACCGAAAATTATTTTAAATAATTTATTATGTAATTAGCTTCTACCCTACGCAGGTGAAATGGGATGTTCCGAAGAATTATCAACGATTTTAGCTATGCTTCAAGTACAAAATGTTTTTGTAAGACCTGCAGGAGGCCAAGCTGCTATAAAGGCAAGAATAGCGCATAGAAAATTCGAAGTTGAGGAAGGAGACTTATTAACGTTGCTGAATGTATATACTGCTTATGAGAAAAATAGAACACTTAGTTGGTGTCAAAAACAGTTTCTTAATAACAAAGCTTTACGCAGAGTTACGGAAATTCGAACGCAAATGCATTCTATGATGAAGAAATTAGATATACCGTTGGTTTCGGCTAATGGTAAATTAAATTAAATTTTATTGTTTTATATATAGTATGAATTATAAAAATTTTCTGATAATAACTCATTTCCTTCAAGGAAATTTACAACAAATTCTAAAATGTATAACTGCTGGACTTTTTCCGAAAGCAGCGTACTTGCATTATACTGGAGTATATAAAACAGTACGTGGAAATAAGGATTTGTATATACATCCAAATAGCTGTTTATATACACTTCAGCAACCTCAATGGTTTGTACATCAACCTTAGTGTAATATCTTGTATATTTCTATAATAACGCATGTACATATCATACTAAATTTTTGTTTTTTCTTTTTCAAGGTTACTATTTTATGAAGTTTTACAAACAAACAAAACGTATATAAAGGACATAACTGTGATACAACCAGAATGGTTATTAGAATTAGCGCCTCATTTTTATGAAAAAACATCTCTTGATCCTATTTAATATAATTTTTGTATGTACATACTTAAAATAATAATGCAGTAAAAAAAAGAACGAAGGTCTATTTAATTCAAATACGTTTCTTTAATTTGAAAATTAGACCACTTAAAAAAATGCTACAAACACAAAGCCACCTATCGATAAAGTAGTATAGTTATCATAACTAACACTAGACAAACTTCATGGTTTACGTTAGTTTTTGTTCCTACTAGCGCCAAAAAAGTTGCGTCTTTGTACGATGCAATCTGATAAAACTCGCAGTTAAAATAAAAAAAAAGAAAATACGTGTTGGATAATTTTACACATCAAAATAGAAAGTTAAAAATAAAAAATCTAATAATCCCAATTTAGTTCAAAGTGGCAGATATTTTATATTTGAAAAGGCGTATGGCTACAATTCGAACGTGATATTAACCTTAATTTTGTGATATCTGCTCAGAACCTCGAAAACGAGCAGCATGGCTAAAATTGTTGAATCATTAAAAAGATTAAGTGTTGAACATGGTGCACGTAAGCATGATGACAATCGAACCATCAAAAGAAAAAGCGAATTAATATCGTCGATTGAAGAAGCAGTATCTCATGATCATAATTATATTCTTGCTATCTGTGGAACTCAAAGGTAAATCTTATTTATCCTTATGGAGCATTTTACGTCAAATCTATTTTAGAAAAGTATGATATTTAAACAATTTTTTTAATTTTTACGTGAATGTTTATTATTACGTAGTGCTATGCAATTTTTCTCTTCATTTCATTTAGAACGTGCTGTTTAACAATTCCATAGAGAAATCAGTATTTTTAAAAATGTAATTTATTTAATATATAATAATTTTAAAAATTTGTATTTGGGAATTAGTATTTTATCGTAGTGAATGAAATATTAATATTATAAATATATTTAATTTTTCAAGCATTTTAATATTTTTGCTTAATTTACAATATATCCAATTAAATGTGAAATTAAAAATACCATTTTTATAGTTACAGAAAATATATTTTTGAAGTATAGATATTAGATATTTAATATTAGACTTGGATTTGATGTGAATTGACTCATAATTATATATGTTTAAAAGATATTATCAAAATATCTGATGAATTAATGTTTATGTACAGTGATCCAGAATTTAGAATTGGTACAGCCTTATCCAACCATACGTGTGTAATATATTCTGTCGGGGAAAACTTAAACCAAACTGCCACATTAACTCATAATCAAACACCTATCGTCGGTATTAGATTTAGCCCTACTTCTAGAAATATTTTATATACAGCTACAAACAGTGGAGAAATTACAGCATGCGACTTGAGAGCTAAAGGCAAAGTTGTTGCAAGGTTTAAAGGTATGTAATGATAAATTTTACAATTAAGTTTGTACATTTAATATACTTCTCCTTTATTCTTAGATATTACAGAAGATGGCAAAACAAAACCTCTCTGTAGTTTTGATGTCAGTTGTGATGATAAGCTTATAGCAGGTGGTACTGAACATATTGGAGGAGATACATTTATTTTATTTTGGGATGCACGATATACTAGTTCAAAATTGGGTGACAAAAATAATCTTCTTGGTGGATACTGGGAATCTCATGTAGAAGATGTAACCTCTTTGGCATTTCATTCTAGTAAGCAGGACGTCTTAGCATCTGGTAGTACAGATGGATTGATTAATGTCTTTGACCTTACACAGCCATCGGAAGATTCTGCATTAACTTATTCCTTAAACACTGAATCATCAGTGGTAAGTTAATATGCTTTATAAAATCTGAAATGTATTTATACTCTAAAAAAAATTAGAATCCATTTTAAACAAAAATATAGGATAGGATAGGTTGGTTAAATGATGACAACCTTTGGTGCACAACACATAATTCACTACAACTTTGGGACTGTGATGGAGCAACACCATATGCTAAATTTGATCGCAGTAATTTAGTAGTTTCTCAGGTTAATAGGATATGTATAATTTATATTAATATTAATGTTTATAAAAATGATAAACTTTACGTAATTTATATCATTCTTTTCAGAATGCTGATCCAGATGATTATTACATAGTCAGATTTCATGCTTCAAATGCTCTTGGACAACCGTTTCTTCTTGCAGGTGCCAGTAATGTTAAAGGGTAAATTACTATATAATTAAAAAATTTAATAATGTCAGATAGTATAACATCAAAGTTAATGATGTTCTTAACAATATTAATTAGAAACTTGAACATAAACAATTAGTTTTACATACTGACAATATTTTTCATATATTCCTTATTAAAACATTTTAGGGAAAACTTGAGATGTTTAAATGTTATAAATGATCAATTAGAAACATGTTACAATATGATAGGGAATAAACAAATAGTACGTGATAGCTGGCTACATGAAAAGGTATAATTTTAATATAAATAAAGTTAAAATGAAATTCATATTATTTTAATTAATATTGTCTAATATCATTTACAGAGCGGTTCTTTGATAACAGTAGGTGAAGGTGGACTTATAAACATTTGGAGGACAACTGAAACTATACCCATTCAACAAAATTCTAGCCATAAATTGGTGGCGAAAATTGGTACTGGTAAAGTACGTGATCGCCAGCATAGAACCAAACCATATTAAAGTAAAAGTGATAGGATAAAAATTTGTAAATGCAAAGAAAGTTTTTGTAAGTAAATATAATAAACAGAAGAGAAATATTACGTGTAACATTAACATAATCGTACATTTCCCTCACGTTTTTCTTTATTACAATAACAGTTGTATGTACATTTATAATAAATAGATATTATTTCTTTATGCGATTAATGATTTAACGGCGATTCATGTATCAATCGAAAAATGTAGCATATGTATATATATAAACGTTAAGGAATGTAAATCACATATCAGTATGTATATATTTGTATAGAATTGAAAGAGGAAGAAAAATATCGTAAATATTTGTTTACTCTTGCCACGTAACAGATTAATTTCTATGGATATCGCCTTCCGGAAAAATCATTTCATTTTACAATATAAGGAGTTATTAAAATAAGAGTTTACGTGCATTTGTTATAGAATAGACGCATTTAGTGTATCGCGAATAAATGGTAATCTTGATGAAGTAATCAAGCAAATAACACAATGATAACAATTAATATTAGCATATAACCGACGTAACGGCCTTTAGTTTAAAATCGTTAAACTCTAAGAGAATTAATGCTGATGTATCAAGTGAACGCGTCATAAAACAAATACGCGTTTACTTATTAGGTGTAATTTTATATTAACGTTTCCAAATACGATCGCAGCTGCGAGTATCACAATGATAACAGTAATATATAGTTTTAGAGTAAAATAGTAGGTACAGAGTAAACGTACAAAAATACTTCCCATGAGCGTCCGGGACGTAAAGATTCACTAAAACGTGGAAAACCGCGTTACTAATAATTCTTTATATCCTCTCTTAAACTTATGCTGTCCAGTGACCTCAAATATTTTAGATGCCACAAGACGCATGTAGGCCGCCGCACTACTCCTTAGTTGTTATCCCAATTTGATTCTTCGCGTTACCCTGAAGATGGTGTGCGACTTCATTGTATAAGGATAATATTTAATAACAATAAACTTTAATAGCATGAAGTTACATTTGACATGGTGCAACGTTCTTAATGTATATAAAGAATACATTCTTTAATATATATTAAATTATATATCTATATATACATATATAATTATATGTATATATATATATATGCCTGTATAGAATATATAATTTGTAATATCTATTTGGAATAATTTCGTGGAATTACATTCCAGTGTTAAAACTTACTTTTCGCATATGTTCTATGTTTTTTTCATAATGAGCATTATGATATTAAGAATATTTTAGTTTGTGTTAAGTGTTTTTGAAATGAAGTCGTACACCCATCCATGAAGGCTACTAACAGGTTAATACAATATTATTTGCGAGCTAATATATACTCGGCATTGTTTTAATAATAGACTTGTAAGAATTCAATTATATTTTTTTTTCTCTCACGCTTTACATCTTATGGAAATACTTTTAAGAACTATTGTCATCACGATTGATTGAGACAAGTTGATAGCATTACTTATGTTTCTTCACGAAGATAAATTAATTAGTCACGTGTTTTATCATCGTGCTTCGACGACGCTGTCCTTTTATTCGATCATATTGCACGCTACAGCATCTTTTGAGGTAAATACGTGCAAAATTTAAACAAGACGTACGTATCAAAACAAACAATTTTTTATCTTATAACGACGATCTACATTATACAGCCACATTTTCAAGATTACTTTTTATCCAACATCTTACAATTAGACGTGCAGTATGATCAATCTTTGTATAATACTTCTCTGGAACTTTTCCATCTTCACGAAATACTCAATAAGTCTTTTCATCAAAAAAGTCTCGTATAAAGTATAAATAAAATAGTTTAAACGATCAAGAATTATCACTGATCTTACATAATGCAATAAATATGTTATTAAAAAAAGGAGAAAAGAGAAAACGATTACAGATTAATGATAATGGCAGTGAATAATCTCGAAGAAAAGTATCAAATATAAAATATTGCTTGAATTGCTTTCGATTCAATTAAATTAAAAATGATTTATACCCATTACAGGAATGATGTAATGAAATTCAAATAATTAACGATTTCGATCTGTGGCTTGGCACACATAATAGCAATGCATTATTGTTAACAGTGGATCTTACCCGTCGTTTTAGCACGTATTAAAATACTTTTAAAGTTATGGTATAAGAATAGCTACCGCGCTCACACATTCATACACATACATGTACAAATACATATACACGTATACGTGCCGCAAAATGAAATTGTTACTTCCGAACGTACATTCAATATTTCATTCATATGCACAATATACTTCCGCAAGTCTCATTCTCAACATACGTACAAGTGATGTCATACATATGTCATGAAAAAGTATATATATATACACATTCATGTATATATGTCTGTATATGCAACCCTAATATAATGTATTTTCTCTATTTTGCATTTTCAGCAAACTGCAACAGATTTGCTTAAAAGATTCGTCTAAAATCATGTTTCTAAAACTGTCAGTCGGCTTAATAACATAACGAGTAAGAATTTAACAAGATCGGCTGATCTATTTCACTAAGCCGGCCATTTTAACATATTTTTTTTCGTAAATATTTCTGAGCACTAATCATTATCTCTTTATTTCTTCACATATTTTATAGTTATTCTCCCTTTATGATAGGTTCTGTGAGAATTTGCATAAAAATGATATTATTGCCCTCAGTAGCAGTTGAAAAGTAACACTATCTTTTATCAATTCATTGAGAATAATATAGTATATCCCTTTTTTTTATTTGACAATCATACTGTTATTATGGACACCATAAATGCATCACTTATATACTATGTTGCATTTCAATGTACAACACTAATAAAATTTTTAAGAAAAGAAAAGAGGAAAAAAAGATACGGGCAAGTAAGAAGAAGAAAAGAAGTGGTCGAGGAAGAGCTTATCATAAACACGATACGAAGAAGGAAGAATTAAAGATAATTGTAATAATGAAGAGAACGTTAAAAATAACGCAAATCTTACCGAGAAAATGTTGAAAGTCAAAATGACTTTACGCGACTTCTAGGTTGAGCATCTTTTGATTGGCTTCGAGAGGGAGTTAATGTAGAAGTCGGGGTAGCTTCGCCAGTTGCAGGACGAGAAGATCGAGAATGTTTCCGACCAAAACGAAAGAAACGTCAGAAAAAAATGACTTCTTCTTCCAATGGTTGCTGCTGTTCCGTTCTTTGATGCTGTTGCTGATGTGAATATTCCGGAGGAGATCGTGTAATTCTAAGTGAACGATTTGAGGAATGACTTTGACTTGTAGCGGCATGATTGTTTCCTAATTCTGGTGAAGAATACGTAGAGCCAGTTACGATTGCTGGGCTGCTTCCCGTTCGTGAATGTCGATCTGGACTATTATTACTCGTACTTCCACTTCTATATTTTTTATTAGATAAAAAATGTATATGCATGAAATATATTTCGTAATTTAAACACATAATTTCAAACTAATATTTATACTTGCCTACTATTATTATTGCTTCCACTAGCAAGTTTTAGAGGCAATTGTTGCTTGACTGGAAGATTACTTTGCACTTTTTGCTGATTAGTAGCACTAATTAAATTTAATGGTATTCTTTTAGCATCCGGCTGTGCTTTCCGCGTCTGCACAGTGGTATCAGTTCCTTGCGTCAAGTGTGATAAGTGAATAGTTGTAGAACTAGGTGCAGAACCTGTAACTACTGTCAATCCTTGCCGTTCTAATGCCTCGAGTCGTCGGTATAGCTGATCTCGTTGCTGCGTAACATCTCTCTGTTTTGCTGCTAATTGTTCACGTTGTCTTACCAATTCGGCTCGTTCTTCTTCTAGCTGCTTTTGTTCTTGTTGTGATGCGGCGTGAAACGCTGCTTTCTCTCGACTTAACTTGTCTTGTAAATTACGTAATTCTTCTAATTGGCGATTTGGATTAGGTCTATTATTTGATTTGCCCATACTACCCTCTTTACATGCTGCTAATTGAGCCTGTAGACTATCAATTGTTGTCATCTGATTACTAATTATACAGACCAACCTATAGACATGATGAGACAGACGAATCGCTGCCCATTGTTGATCTTTATTTATTTCTGTATCTTGATTTCCTTTTTCTTCTAGACCTTCTTTTATAAATTCACTAACCTTTGGAAGAGAAATTACAGAATGAATTGCAGACTCTCGTAACGGATACTTTTCCTAAAAAAAGAACACAATATTATTATATTGATTTTAATTGCTATGTATGTATTGTGTATTTACCTTGTTATGATCAAAACCCGCAAATGTCTCAGCTCTTCGAGGAACACAAAGAGCAGACGGAACATAGGCCTCACTATGTCGCTCTCCCGCAGAACTTAAACTTCTCGAAAGAGTAGCGCCACCCGCAGTAAAAGATAATGAGCTAGCAAGTTTTGTTGCTTCTTGTACAGCAACAATCACCTACAAAAAGAATTACTTTTTCTTTAGTTTTCACTGCACTTGTATGTACAGGATATTTAATTTAATTCTATATATATGATTAATTTATTCTATGCATATGATTAAAAATGAAATAAAAATGTTATATAAGTTTGAATAATATAAGTTATAATATCTTATAAAGTATATACAGAAATCCTTTATAGTTATGTGAATATCCTTTATAGTTATAATTTAATTTGAAAATATATATAGTAGTATATATAAAACATAGTAACCTCTTGTCGTAACTGTGTAGTATCTGTTCCTTCATTGTGAACTAATCTTGTATAATCTGCAATTTCTTTATCAGTTTTTTCTATTTTCTCATTATCACTACTTTCGTTCCCACTCCAAATATTAGCAGCATGTAAGAGTTGCATTTGTAAGCTGATTTTCTCTTCGAGTAATAACGCCTGTTCTGCATCCTTTTTTCGCAGTTCACCTAATTATAGTAATATAAAATGATTTAATAACATATTTACGTTTTTATTAAAACATATATATTTAATAACGAAATGTCGCACGTACCAACTATCTTAAGAACATGTAACTCTTTAGTTTTAACTAAACGTTGTCTTTCTTCAACAGAAAGTAACGATATAGAAGAGGAACGTGTATCTCTTAATTCATTATTATTATTATTTTCAGTTAATATATCAGTTTCATTTTCAGATTCTTGTGGACAGGCTTCAACTGCTGATCTAATTGCTTGTATCCATAATTGTTTATCTTTCGGTTTTTGAATTTTCAATTCGAACATCTCAGGTTCAGCTGGATTACTACTTATTAAATAAATTCCTCTAGACTCTTGACCCGCTTTTTCACGAACTAGTAATTTTTGAAGTGATACTATACCAGCCTTATTGTCAGGCACAAAAAATGCATACTTCTGATCTCTCTCAGCCAAGAAAAATAATATGTCAGAAAGAACAACCACTACAATGGCAGTCATTTTTCCACGACCTTGCATTAAATATGCAGTTCCTTCGAATTTTAAGATTCTATTAAATGCCATGATGTCTGATTTTTTGAACTTGGCACCACGATATGTTGCAAAAGATTTTGCGTCGATCCTAAATGATAATAATAAGAGAAATGTTATTAATAAGTATGAAAGCATTAAAAATATAGTTTATAAAATATATAATTTTTTTTACTTGTTGTAGATTTCTAATTTTCTATCTTCTCTTTCCTTGTCAGCAACACATGCATCTACATTTGCTAAGATTTCTTTAACAAGAACCAGGGCTTTGCGTAAATCTTCACCTTCTTCGTGTGCAATAACTGTTTTTATGAGTGGCTCAACGAGCAGTGGATACTTTGTTAAACGTTGAGTAACAAATAGAATGCACTCAGGAATTCCTTTCTTCTTCAGCAAAGGATGTGACTGTATAAACGTTAATTATATGCATCTTCATGTTATTATATATATATATATATATATGCAAATGAACAAAAGAATAAATGCTCTACTATGGTTACCTGACATTGGCGTACGAATCGTGCAAATCGAGGGTCATGACGCAAATAATACTTATAAGCTTCAACAGCATCTCTGTGACGACTACAGAATTCTCCATAGGCACTCTTCATACGTTGCGCATTCTCTCCAGAGAATTGATCCACTAATATATCAGCAATTGTAGGAACAATAGAATTTGTGTTTTGCCTCTTACGTAACTTTTGCAGAAATCGTAAATGAATATCAATGAGATCGCGTAGTCTTGGGAACATGCGTTCCAGATCTGCTTGACCCAAACGAAAGTGACGTCGCAGACCTTCCGCAAAAATTCTTTCCATGGCGAGAAGTACCAAACAGTGATGTTTTTCCGTAAGTACAAATTCATAAATGTGTTCTTGTCTTTTCACTTTTCGTTCACAGTTATCAGCTAATCGTAATGCAACGTTATGTCCAATGGCAGCACTCCAAGAATCAGGTTCTTCTTTAGCTAGGCCTAATTCAGGATCCAAACCTTCCAGATCGCCCACTGTGAATTGATAAGCGTCATCTCCAAAGTCAAATCCTTCTAATCCACTGCAATATTATTTTAAACAAAAAGCTCTTATAAATTAGATATTTTAAGATAAAAAGAAAATTAAATAATACACAAGTTTCTACAAACCTAGATATATCACGATGTTGTCCATCTCCATCTTTCTCCTCATTTATTGTTTGACTGAAAGAAAAATATAAGTCTATATTTTTAAATACTGCTTCTATCATAAAAAAACAAATGTTGTGTTTGTTGTAGTATTCCATAATTAAAATTATACATTATAAAAGACAATTTTATCTTAATGCTGATTTGAAAATTAAACACTAGTGCCACATTTATCATAACTTGGAATAATAAAGGGTATAGTGACACAAAATTATTAATGCAATTCTAATTAAACAAATCTATAAGGTCAATATGATGTCAGATATTTTGAACATGTTACAATTCTTTGATAGTTTATTTATCAATTAGGGACAGATGTTTGTATATTAATTGGTCAGTACTGCGGGTACCCGAAATTAAAATATGACCTGGTAACGAGATGATATTCAAGACATGAATTCTCATGTAGCCCAATATTTTCGGACTAATTTGAACCGATTCGTATCTCTAATTTTATGAATAACCGTGAACTCTTAACTTCGAGATTCAAAAACGATCATGTCCGACCAAGTCGAATGACTTCTTTCTTTTAATCGACTTAAATCGGCTTGAGAGTGACAGGCTATCCGTTCATTCGTATATCTTGGATATTTATCCGAGCCTGTTCGACTCTTTTGAATCCGTAATCTCAGGTATCTGCAAAACTCGGATAAATTATATATAAAGAATTAGATACTTCTTGAATAAGATCTATTTGGCAACTAAGTGATTGCGGATTTTGACATTAGGTGGTATTGACAAAATTCGCAATCACTTAATGGCCAATCCAATAAAAATAAAGTGGCAGGTCTCATATCTGTCCCATATGTCATTTGTACCTACCGAAGGGTTTCTTTAATGTCATTCAAATGAATATAAAGAAGGAGGGTTGTGTCACATGATGTGTCTCAACATAAATTGTAGTCTATATTCACTTTCTTTTCTGTTTAGTTGCGCTGCTAAACTTTGAATATTAAAGGAAAGGTTTAATATAGAGAGAACATGGAATGCGAGTAGTACAAACAACCGACCATAATAGTGAAGCATACAGTCCGTTTACCTGAAATAAGGTGCACGTGTTGCACCGTCTTTAGAAGCTGAATCAATTAAACATTTTTAAAAACTTCATCGGGGAAGGACTTATTCTTTAACTAAAATTTCGAGGAACATTTCATTACATCTTCTTAAATTTAAAAACCACACGATTTTCGGACAAATTAAAAGAATAGGAATATTTTAAATAATATTTTCAACATTACAATACGTCAAGTTCTGCGAATAGTTTCTGAAATCAAATTTTTTAACTCGTTTTAATGAAAACAGGCAAACATTCCAAATTTCGCAATATTTTTAAATAAATTAGAAACTAGCAGAATTATTACTTAAATCTCCTTTTCTCTGATTTTACGTGCACTACATATTATTAAAAAATAAAATGAAAATACATATTACTAACATAAAGAAATAATTAATTTAACATGAAATCGCCTATCTGTGTATAATAATAGAATTTTCCCTAACTTGACACCTAAAATGTTTATTATTAATGTATTTCTACAAAAGTTTTATGAGTGAACAATGCTGAATGTAGATTCTGAGATACATTTAGTAGCACGGGACAGATTGTAAATAAAGCTACAAATTCATACTATGGAGGGAAAGTCAAAATGCAGGGTAATAAAGAAATTTATATAAATTGGAAGCACGAGAGTACTAGATGTTCATTCTTGATGATGCTTGATAAAGAAATTACTTAGTTATTTAACAATTGTATGTTTATATTATAATGGTTGGATGAAGTTACAAAGAGATGTATACATAAAATATATCATTGAATAATCAGAAATGATAGAAGCAAGCATATCAGAAGCATAGGCAGGGGCAAGGTGATGTCTCTGTCAATACAACACAAAGAGGCAATACAATTGCCTTTTGAACAATGTGTGCAAGAAAAGAATCGAGAAACGATAGACGCGGGTCATCCTACTACTGTGTAGGATTTAATATACGAACAGAAACGTACGAACGCTTCGACAGAATAGGAGGAACACATCAGACTTCTGAGACTTACTTGACTCCGAGCTTAGTAGCAACTCGCCGCCAAGGACTGTAGCTTGTCACGGCTTTCTTGCTGTTAATTTCCCTTTAATCGTCGAACAATCGATCGGTTTGTCGTTGCACGAGAGGGAATGCACGGGGGAAGGAAAAAGCACACACTGCATTAGGGCAACCTTATTTTGCCTTTTGTTTCCCTTCCTTCTTCAGTTTTCTTACTCTATTACGTTTCTCAGTTTTTATATATCACTTGATAATACACGCTCTTTTATAGGTAAACATTACCTTTTCGAAAGCATACTTTAGTGCAATATAGAACATATAGATATGCATTTTTAAAAAGATTGTGTATACCCTTTTTGAATTGTAAAAACTACCATTTTTCGTTAGTATCGTATCTATAATTTATGTTGAACTTGTAAAATCAATATCCGAAGAAGTTTGGGTATAGAAATTTGTATGTTAATTAACATGTATATGCAAATGTTTTTATCAATTAATGTTAGAGACGCGAGGATAAACACGCTAAAGCTTGCCATACTATTTGGTTAAATTGCAAAATTAATTAGAAATAATAAGCTTTTGAGCCAGCCAAAGCTTCTGAATAATAAGCAGATACAATACCTCCTCTAGCATTTATCCTATTCTATTTGTTTTTCATACAAAATGTAGAAATTCAGTAAGAGAGACTTCTCAGAGTAAAATGTGAAATATAATAGATTAAAAGAAGTTTTAAATATATATAAATATTGATATATCAAAATTTTTTTGGCAATTAATTATATTAAATTATCAATTGATAAGTGGCAATTAACGAAGTTTAATTACTTCTCCCAGATGATACATTTTTATAAAAATCTAATGAGCAAAGAAAAGTAAAAAAAGTTGCATTTTTTGCTGAGCGCAAATATGTGTATGTATTCTTTAAGTTATACAGTACAGTAGAATCTCTAATATCCGAAGATCTATTCGCTATTAGAAATTTGATTCTCCGATATTCAAAAATTTTCTCATTTAAACAATCATGCTTTCTTAATAATTCGGATATTGGAAGTTCTCCTGTACTTCTATTGGAAATAAGAAGAGTTTGTAATAAACTCCGAGTTTAGGCCTAGTCATGCCAATTGCGTGCGAATCTTGAACCACAGATACGCAGATCCAATGCAAGAAATCTATAATTCTAATAATAAAAGTTATTTACCTTCCACTTCCAGAGGACGCTGGTAGGGGTAATGATGCGGTAGATCCTCTCTTAACATTATAGCTATTTGAAGTTGTGGATATGCTCGATGTAGATTTGATGGAACTCTTATCCTGCAATTTCATTGTAATTTTTAGAATTATATTTTATTTATATACTTGAATCTCCTATATCGTAATTTTAATACCTTTTTTTTACGAAAAAAGATAGAACCTCGTTTTCTTCTAGTTTTTTCTGATTGATGATCGTCATATACAACTCCACTAAAAAGAAATGTACATATATTTATTTATTATACCTACATATTATAATTAATATATGTATAAATGTAATTAATTTAAATAATTTACAATATAAAACAGTATAGTATGAAAATGATTAGCAGTAAATATTTACAAGCAGTACTATGGTGTATTTACACTAGTGATTACGATAAAAATAAATTATAAGTTATGACTAAATGCGTACATTACTGAGCATTTTAATGAAAAAGTAAAATACACATAGAAAAATCTAAATAGTATTATAATTTGATTGTCATGTATATACGATATAAGAAAAAAATAATTAATAATAAAGCTGATACAAACCAGTTATTTTTTTCCTTGTGCCTTGTTAGCAGAATATACTATATAAAGTGTTTGGTAACAAATGATAAATAACTGCTTAGACAAACCAAAATAAGACTAAATTGCAGAATAAAAAAGTCGTGTACATAATGTATCTCTTTTGTAATCATACAGACAAATTCGTGAATTAGAGGAGATGATAGTCTTTTCTACTTAGAAATTCCATAGAGTAGATTGATATTCTCTTATGGATTTTTGTGAGTAGACAAGTTCTATATTCAATCTATAATCTTTCTTAATAAAATGCATTATTTATGGTAGTAAAGTCTTCTCTTAATATTCTATATTATAGGGATATTGAAATTGACTTTTAAATGTCAATAACTAATAAAAAGAAATTCAAACGTAATTTTATTATTTTTCTTTTTTGTCTTGTATAATAGAAGCACCCCTTAAATTGTTTTCTATCTGTTACCACACACCTTATATATATGTGAAAAACTGAAAATGTATAATACTCACTCCGTCAGTAACTCATCAAAGGATATCTGAGCATTTGGAGTGCCTTCTCTGTCTTCATGGAATTCATGGCTGTTTGGAGTGTGAAGATCCTCAGTTTCAGTTTCACTTCCACTACCCTTTTCGTTTCTTTCACGTCGGCTGTACCATGCAGGATGGTAGGAAATTATCAAGTACAAACACAAAGTATGCGACTATTGTGTAAAAGATGCAAATCAGATATTCTCGCGTGGTTTTCCACCGAGATAATAGTGCCACAAAGACGCACAGTTAAACAGAGTATACAGAATATCATTTAAATGATTATTTAATGATTACTTAGATTATTCAACGTGAGATAAAAATTTTTGAAATAATTTTAGGAATCAAATATTATGAGGATGAAGTAATATTTTGACTTTAATATAGGTGCAATGTAGTCTTAAAAAATTGAAAATTGCTTAAGTATAGCAATAAATGGTGCAACCATGCTAAAATACTTTCATCTACAAGATGCAAGCATTCTTAAATGTAGGCGAATTTTGAAATCTTTTATAAACGTATTAATAACCATGCAATTTGTTTTTACTATTAATTTAAAAATTACTTAAGTTAAAAGAAATATATGTATACACATATCTTATACTTCATATATACATAAAATATGTGTTACTTTATATGCTACTTGTATATGATTGCATAAAAAGATTGCAAGCTAGATCATAAAACATGAAGTATTTATAAGCAGTTGTTAAAAATTGATGAAATAAATACAAAACTGAAAATAAAATCAAAATATTATTAATATACTTTAATGACATTTCAAAATATAAGACTTACGCTAATAATTTTATTACAAAAAATATTATTGTTATTTCTTAAATGTATTAAAAGACAATGCAACAGCTTACAAATTTGCATCAGTATTGATCTAGCTGTACAATCTAAAAATATTTTTATTTAGCTTACGCTGTAAGTGACGGTGTTGTTCTAGTTACAGTTTCTGCCAAGTGAGCATTAACTTGAGGTGTAACAATTGAAGGCGTTGAAATAGATTTCTGAAGAGGTAAACGAGAACCTGTAAGACCAGGCATTAAACCACTGCTGTCTGCTAATCTTTGACTACCTTTGAATCGTTTTGTAACTATCTTCTGATATTCGCTCTGTTAAAGAAAAATTTGCAATACACTTCATTACAAATTAAACATATAAGAAACTTCTCAATATGAGCATCCATTACCTGTACAAGATCAGCTTCATTGAGAGAATGAGTACTTGCTTGCGATCTGCATGCTCGACTAGCAACTCCTACAGGTCTAGTACAAGATTTTCCATGTAATTCTATTTCCATTTCACTGTCTAAACTGCTTAAACTAATACTGCGTTGTCGCTGCAATTGTAATGGTTATACAATGAATATAATAATGGAAAGAATAGTCAAAAGCTTTAACAAAACATATTAAAAAAAGCAATGAAGCTATTAAACTCATCCCACAAGTGTACAATGAATAAAGTATTTCTTTAAAAATGTATCAGACAATATTAACCATGTTTTGTGCTTGTAGATGATTTTGCCCAGAATATCTGCGACGCCCACATCGAGTGTCTTCCAAGTCAGTCCAGCTGCGTCTTCTGTCTATACCTTGTGCATTCTGTGAACGAGGGCCTACTGATGGAAAATGTGTGGGAGAGCTGTTGGTAGAACAGTTAGCAAGGAGATCAGGATCAGATCCTGTATCATTATTGCTTGAGCGTGGTGCAATTTCAGGTGAAATGAAAGGACATAGGGAAGGACATGATGAAGTTAACCGTTGAGGTACATCATTGTGAGATGTGCGGTGATTATATCCCCAGTTGCTCAGCGTCAGATCTCTCATACGCTGAATACAATCATGGATTTCATGCAGATGCTGCAAGTTGTCCTCTGCAAGGAGGTGAACGAATTGTTAGCCACAAAAGCACATAAAATTTTGTAATGTCAAATGATACTGAGATCAATGAAATGTAATGCATGGAGTTACATAAATCAAAAATCAAAAATATTTACCTAAAACTGGGTAGTTTTTAGCAAGACCAGGTGAATGAGGTGTGACACTAATAATTGGTACCAACGGATTAGTCTGAGCTTGACTACTAGTGCCAAGTGTAAGCAGCGAATGCTGCTGTTGCTGTTCATCTCTTTCAGTCCCTTCAGACATTGTAATAGCCGTTTTCTCTGTATTGTCTTTGGTGTAGCCGGTCTCAGTAATTATATTTCCATGTAAATTTAAACTGCCAAGATCTCCATTAATAATAGGTATACGATCGCAATCAGAATGCGATGATCCTAAATAATCAGTTATTACATCTTCTTCACTATCCTCCCCACTATTTGGACATTCATCTATAAGCATATTAAAAACAAATCATTTTTTATTATTTATGACTATATAATACAGAGATGAAATATAACAAAATAATTATTATTTAAACACATTCAGTGATCAGTTTAAGTAATAACAATACGTTATGGTATGGCACAATATAAATTACTCAAAAATTAGATTGTAAGATAATCTTTCACGAAAAAGACGGTACTGCAACAAGGAATATCGCACTTCATGAACTGCATCGAGATATGAGAAAACCGATATCCAAATGTCCTCGCGTCTATTGACTGCGAAGAGAACAAATAGGGGACCCGCTCGTGACAATTGCAGCAGCCTCCCGCTCTCATGTCAGTAATGTATAAAGATATATTCAATGAAAACCAGGTCAAATTGTATGGTATATATATTTGTATTTTTAATTTTATAAACGTGTGAATATCAATACGAATAATTTGTTCAGTTCTTTTATCGAAACGAACTTAATTGAAAATAGTAGCTATATTTTATTACATTAATATCGATCAAAGATAATCCAAGGTCGTCTGTCAAATGTCACAATTCGGAAACAAGTATGTCTTATTACATCGATTTAACGTTAATTGGTAATAAATAAATGTAGGACTATTATCTTGATCTTATCACTTCTATTGATAAAACCAGTTTTCTTATTATATTTGATCGAACAGTTACATGTTATTGTAATTTTATCAAAAAAGAGAATCTAATATAGATGTTGGTCACATGAATCACCCGGATAATGACACTCCTGATGAAAATATTCAATCAATTAACATATTCTATTGTACCTACATATTGATTTGATGAACTGTTTATTGTCATCCTAGTATCACGAATAAATAAAAGAGATTAAATCGTATCAAGTACTTTTCCGGGAAGCAAGGGGTAGACACACTGTTGCTTTTCCCCGTAGCTCCCAAGCGCGAATTGATCCGTTGGTCCGCGCGTGCCACCCCACCTCCATGCACCCCCGATCCTTAACCGACCTCCAACCTTCAACCTAATACTTTTATTACCACCCTTTTCAATAATTTTATCTTTTGTTTCCGTATTTATAATTCATATCTCGCGATTAAATATCGTTTACAAGAGTTATTAGGCTTTAATCAAAATATTTTTAAATCTAAATTGTATCTGTTTGGAGTCTCATCTTAAACTAACTAAATTATTATTTAATCCGAATAATGACGAATTCATTATTTGACCATATTTTTAAATTTTTTACTTGTTTAATATTTTTTAAATGCTAAATAATTTTAATATAAAAATATCATTTAAATTTGTTTTAATTTTTATATTTTTATTAGTAAAAATATTATACATAAATTCGAGATACTTTGATTATGATTTAGCTATGCTTAACTATAACTTATTTCAAATATTTTCTATTACACTTCTATATTTTGAAGTATTGATAAAATGTATAATTTTAGAATACCAGTATTGTATCAATTTTATACTCATGGAAGCATTGAATCCAATCATGTGAAAATTAAATATACATACATATATTCTCATCCTATAAATATAACAAATGACAAGTTTTTGTAGAAAATTGTTATTTTAGAAAATTTATTACAACTAAAATATTAATTTAAACAAAAAGTTATAGTTGTTACAATAGAAATTCGTTTTTAATTATTAAACAAAACCATAATAATAACAGATTATTAAATAAAATTGCATATGTATAATATAATATTTATTCGATTTAAAGTCACAAATGAAGACTAAAGAGAATTAATTTATTTTAAAAAGTTATGAAAACAAGACACACATCTATACTACAACGTTAATTCTACTTTGAATTAATATACATAACTGTATTTGTATATTAAGTCAATAACATTGAAACAATATTGGAATATATATTCTATAACAAATATATAAAAAGTTATACATATCTAATATTTACATATAATATTTGTATCAAATATTAACAATAAACATTTATACTTTTTACAGGAGAAAGAAAGGCTTTAATAAATAAAATATAGACAGGATATCAACTCTCTAAGAAATATTATGTTCCTTCTTTCAATATTTTATTACATACAATGATGGTATCAATAAATGTATATAATATAGACAGAGAGAAATTACTCATGTCTTTGTGTTAGTAGCAACTTACCAGAGGAAAACGGAGCCAATATTTCCTGTCGTTTTTCCATCTCTTTTATTTCCGACGATTAAATGATTATTTAATTTTTCCGAAATCGGATACTGAAACATTTGTAAATATTACAAATAGCGTTACATTAAGTTTATCGTTTCGAAAACATTTCATAAAAACATAAATTCGAGAATCTTTATACAGTTAATGAAAAAATTCGCAAATAAAAAGTACAACACAATTACGATATATTTTAGACTTATTATGAGTTGGGCAACATCAGTTATATATGCAGTCTTTCACACTCTGATAAGGGCGACGTACACACTTTGCTGCCAAAAGAAGCCGTATTGACAGGTGAACGCTCGACTTAATTACTTTGCTTATTGAAAGATATCACTTAACATTAAAAATAATACACACCTGAAATGCAATAATCTTTATAAATCCATTAATATTACACGTAGTGTATTGTATCTAATTCCTTCATGAGGAAACAAAATGTTGTATCTACCAATCTGTATCATACAGTCAAGGCACGTCGACCATTTTGTACTAGCTGAACTATAGGTAGTAAGAAATCGTAGAGATGTGGTAACGCATGAATCGCTTGGTGGAAATAACAATATAGTATTAGGCGCGTACTTAAAATTTATGCGATGCAAATCTATTTATCGGAAGATGAAAATTATTTAAAGAACACAAGGGATACTGACAAATTAAAACGAAAACCTTATTTTTCAAAATATATTGCATTTTATTTTTATGTTAATATTCTCAAATATTTAACCAAAATATTCATTACTACCGAATTTTCGAAATATAAAACTTTCGAAATATATTCCGAATTAATACACATATTAGGTTCAATTATTAATAAATTCCGGATTCATTTTTTATTAGATTTAAAATATATTTAGATTATAAGTTCCTAGTTATATATTTAGTGCCATATTTTTATTAATCTGAATCAAGTATTTATTTAGAATATTGTATTGTTTTGTACAATTAAATTAGAAAAACAATTACAATATACTACCGCACTTGTTATATATTTGCACCCATTGTTATAATAATAGAATTGTTTTACCGTCATTATTGGTCATTGCAGATTTGAAAAAAGTACGAAATTGAGGAAGAGCAGATGGAGGAAACAGTAAGATGTCGTTAGGGTGGTTGGTTCTGGTGGGGAAGGAAGGGATTGAATACTTTCAAACAAATTGCAAATAGGGAAATGTACTACTCAATTGTACATAACCTCTGTTCTCGGGATTCGCTTCGCTTTGAGTTTCGTGTTTTCGATGTGTCTAATAAAACTTCATAAATCTCTTGATTTATAATAATCACACGTGTCCATTAATTAAATGTAAAGAAGAATAATGTTTTATACATAAAGCAAGTTTACAAAGGTTGGTTTTGCTTAAAAGCCAATGTTCTAATATGACTTTATACGATACCATTTCAAAGAATGAGTAATCGAAAGTATAAAATACAATGAAATAGTTATGTTGCCTTCGACTGGTTACTTTAAAGCTATAAACTGTCCATTTTATGAAAATGGAGCGTGCGATAGACCTTACTGTCATTTCAAGCATTCGAAACGAGGTAAGTTCCTTTATTGTTCAGCTTTTCCTTTATCATAAATATATTACGCGTGATATTTTATATTGCTCAAGAAATTTATTTCGGTTTTATCTCAGTGTTTTCTAGCATAAACAATTTATCTAAAAAACATAAGTTTATATATTGTTTTAGAAGATGTTGGAGTTACCACAGAGGCTACAGAGACAGTGGAAAACCATTCCGCGGGTCAAGCTGAAGACTCTAAAGCTGCTACAATGGTAACATCTGATTCAGGCGTTTTACAACAATTAGTAACAGAAGCTGTCAAAAAAGTCCTAGCTAATCGAAGTGTCACAGATGTAGATAATAAATTGTCTTGTCAGAATGTTGTTTCTCAGGTAGTTGAAGAATTAAAACCAACATTAACCACTGGATCTTCTGGTACAGTAAACAATGTTAAGGCCACTATGGTAGAAGAAAGAACAAATACACCAGCACCAGTTAATATGCAACCATGCGTTTATAATCCAACACCAATTGCAGAACTAAAGAAACGTCACATACCGATAATATCCTATATGCCAACTAGAAAAAATACAGTAGCTGTGAAACGTAAATCTTCTCCGGATGAAATTAAACCTTGGTTAAATATGGGCAATGAATCTGCAGAACCTCAAAGTGTTGAAATTAAATACAAACCTACTGTGATAATCACACCTGAAGTTCGGGATACTATGCAGAGTTATATACCTACATGCAAATCAGACTCAGCTTCACTAAATTCATCTAAGGATGGTAGTTCAAATGAATATTTACTTAAACTCAGGGAGACCTATTATCCAAAGAATAAAAAGAAAAGGGAAGAATATGTCCCAAAAAAAGTGAAAACACGACTAAAAACGGGTGACGGATTAAACGAATCTGCACTGGATCATATTGAAACAGATCTCAATATGATGGATAAAGTACTCACATGCTCTAAATCAACTTCTGATGCACAGTCTAGTAAAATATCTCCAGATTCTTCTTTAGATATCGAACCAAAATTTTCTGACGATGAAGAAGAGAATAGTAATGATTGCGATAACACTGACGATCATGATGACACAAATAAAAATAATACTGCACACATTGATTTTAAGACTATAGAACAAAATGAATCTTATCCTGATGTAAAAAAATCTGACTATGTGAACAATTTACAGGATATGTATTTTCCAAAGATAATAGATAGCACTGATAGAACTATTAACAAAGAAAATCATAATGAAAAAATATTGACATATAGCGATACTCTGAAACAAGAAACGTTCCCTAGTGATGAGAGTTCTAAATCTTCACAATGTGAAAAAGGAAATGTATCAGAGGTAGATTTGAATAAAAGTATGGTTAAAAATGTAAAGGAATATAAAAGCAAGGATAAGAATAAAGACAAAAATCAAAGGGATCACAGTACATCTCATAAAAGGTATAAAGAAAAGCATGAGTCAAGTAAAAGGTCACATTCCAGTTCGCATAGTAAAAGTAAAAACAAAAATCATTTGAGACACAAAAGCAAAGAATCAAAAGATAAGAATCATGATAAGGATAGGAGTAAATACAAACATCAGGAAAAGGACAAGGTCCAAGATAAAGATGAGAGTAAACACAAATCTAAGAGTGATAGAAAGGACAATCATAGGTCTGGGAAACATCATGGGCATTCCAAGAGTTCTTCGAAAGAGCATACTAAGAATAAAAGTGATAGAAGTAGCAAACATTTGAAAACGCATCGTAGGTTGGACGATACAACAAATGAAAAATATGTGAAGAGTAAGGAAAAGAAAGATTTAACCGAGAGATTCAGAAATTCTTTAGAAAGCATTCGCCTGAATTCCATGAATGACAATGATGAAGAGAATGATGATCACCATAGTAGTATCATCAGTAATGATATTGATGTAACTTTTAGCATGTCTGATTCAGACCATGATGTACAAGAAGAGTGTTTAAAGATATTTCAGGTATGTGTAATAAATTCATCTTGTTACAATTCTGGGGACTTAAAAATTGCAATATACAATGTATTAATTTGTGTATACTTATTTTTATTGGGAATGTTGTTACAAGGAATACCAAGTACCAGAACAATCAAGGGTAGCAGAACCATTGAAAGTCGGATCATCTGCATTGCACGAAAAAGAAAAGGAACAGGTAGAAGAAATTGGCAAGAAAAGAGTAGCACATCCTTCAGCAGCTGCATGTGTTATCAGGCAAATTGGAGTTAATCAACAGGCGAGAAAATTTGTAAATCCACAACAGAAAATGTACGAAAGGTGGCGTCTGATGCGCGATGCTGTAGCAGAAAAAACAATTTCTGCAAGTAGTAGTGCTCCCAAGGATGTACGTCGTAATTGTACCGAAGCGATAGGTATAGCGAGTAACAACGAATTGAAGTTAAATGGGAATGGTACATAACTATTTTTTTAAGAAAGTATTTGCATGAAGATATTTTAAAGTATAAATAGAAACTGTTAATAATTAATTACATATTCGACAGGTCGTGTCAGAATTGCACACGTACCGTATGCTAAATCCTTAGCACTAGAAAAAAGAAAGGTAACAGAAAATGTAGGAAAGTTAGTGGAACCGAAAGCCGCAGATAATTATAAAACAGCTGCACAAACGGCGAAGAGTGGTGTACGCATAGCTCACGTTCCACAAATGGTCTGTATTCCTTGTCTTTTAATTAATTATAGGCATACAGAGCTGTATAATGTCTTGGTTGTGTTTCAGGTTCCTCAGTTAATTCGTCCTGAACCATTACAAGTAACCACGCAGAAATTTCCTTTAAACGTTCGCCAGTATTATGTGAATATGATGCATGACGTATGTGTATTAATTTACACAAATGCCGAGGATGCAGCACAACGTGCGATTAAAGAAGAATATGCTTGTCACGAAAGATGCAAAGCACTAGCTGTTTACAAAAATTCCTGCATGCTTGCTACGCATAGATTGAGAAAAGAGGCTGATCAAAATTCATCTGTGGATAATAATGCAATAGTAATTCCAGGTAGTAGTACAGTTTCTCATGAAACAGTGTTGGCTGGGAAAACTAAAGGTTCGTGGAGTGTTCTTAAAACAAAAAGATCCATTACGAAATTTAAAGGGCCAGCTTTATATGGTATGCTAAAAAAATGGATAATGACGGAGCAACAACTTCAAGATAACGGGTTTCCTCGTCCACATCCAGATGGTCAGAAGGTAAACCGAGTGAAAAAAGCTTTTGAGAAATATAGTAAAATATTCGTGAAAATATCGCTCAATTTCTTTCAATTGCAGGGTCGTGCCAAAGTCTATGTAACTAACACACGAAATCAAAGTGTTCTGTCAAAAGTGCCTAACGAAAGAATTTGTAGTCGATGTGGTCAAACCTATGTGATTGATAAACGAGGATTTGCTTCGCGATCACAGAACTGTATATATCATTGGGGGAGAAAATTCACAATCAGAGGTGAAAGCAAATACAGTTGCTGTCAACAATATGGTTCTGCAACTGGTTGTTGTGACGCGAAGACGCACGTTTGGGATTATACAGACTACGAAAACCTTCGTGGTTACGTGAGAACTTTACCGAAAGGTAATTTGTAAATGTTTATTTATCTCTATTTCCAACTCTAGTTTATATGTATTCTATTATTTGTCCTCATTGTTATTATTATTAAGATACGCCGGTAGAAGAACAAGGGGTATATGCACTCGATTGTGAAATGTGTTATACAACTCAAGGATTGGAACTAACCAGGATAACAGTCATTGATGATGATTGCAGTGTAGTATATGAGACGCTAGTGAATCCCCAAAATCCTATAATCGATTATAATACAAGGTAAAAACTATAAAAATATTTCTTCTTTCATTTTCTCCTGTTCCTTTCAAATAAAAAGAAAAGTAATTTTTCATACAATGTTTATAAATAATCAAATCAATATTAAAATTGCGTATACAGGTTTTCTGGGATTACGGAGGAAAATATGAAAGACGTGACAACAACGTTATTAGATGTCCAAGCAACGTTGTTGACAATGTTTTCAGATAAAACTATATTAGTGGGTCATAGTTTAGAAAGCGATTTCAAAGCTTTAAGGCTTTTGCACGATACTGTCGTTGATACAAGCGTGATGTTTCCACACAAAAATGGTTATCCACAAAAGAGAGCATTAAAGAATCTTTGTTCCGAATATTTAAGGAAGATTATTCAAAATGACGGTTAGTTTAGAATCATATACTTTTTTATTTTTTTTTCATTCGCGGTATAGTTCAATAATGATATTTTATTTCGTGATTTCTTTGCACATTAAGGTTTGTGATGAAGTAAAAACAATTCTTCTATAACTAATCTTTTGTTTCATATTACAGTTGGTGGACACGATAGCAAAGAGGATGCTGTCGCTTGTATGGAGTTAATTCTTTGGAAAGCAAAGGAAGAAGCAAAATTACAATAAGCGAATCTACAAGCACTTTGTCAGACTGAATTGTGTACAGCTTATGGTTTTGTGGTATATGAAGCGATGATAACTTTTTTTTAAATTATTGTATGCGTTGTATTATAGTTTTTCATGTATAAATATGTGATATACATGTGCCCGGTTAATTCTAGAATCGATTATTATACAATCACCACTCATCTTCGAATTTCATTCATTATTCTAATTATGGTAGATACACGTTTGTTCTTTTGATTACGCGCAATTCATACTTTTATAAAATTCTACTGTAATTATTTACAAAGCAATTGACCGCTACTGACCGATTTCAATGGCCTTGAGATATGTTACCAAGCCAACGCGTTGAGTAGTTTTACTCTATCCACGTATAACTGTCAGTAGGCTTCAGTTTCAGATATAAAAGTGAAAGTACATAGATAAGCACAATACTGCGCGTAAAAGTAGTTGCATCTGACAATGAGTAAGTATTTCGAGAATTCAAGTGACCGCAGCGGAAATAATAGGCGTTAGTAAGATATTGATACTTAACATAAACAAAGTATATATACATCGCTGACAATTCGATGCCATTATATGCATATTGGATTGTTTAAACGCATACTTTTTCGCACCTGTTTCGGTGCAGCATTGTTTCTATTTTTTTCAAAATCAGCTGCATTTACGATAATGGCGCGTTCAAAAAATATGTGTATATCCAATCAATACAATATCATCGAATCTAAAACCAAGTGACGATTGTCTGGAATTACTCAGTCATTGAGCTTGACAATATATATTAAGGTCATATCGGTGAAGTATGTATTATTCTACATAATTACCTTCCAGATTAATGGTAATAATAATTTCGTAAGAAATTATAATCATGTCTTTTATTTACTACCTAAATCAAACCTAATCTAGATTCAGCCAAAGCTTAGAAGACATGTAAAATAATAAAAGACATAATGGGATACATAGTACCGAAAGTACTTTTGCAAACATTTTGAAGGCTGATGCTGAGCGGCGCCTGTATGTATAGACGATGTTACACAACATATAGACCTTGACGATATATCGCAAGGTCATTGAAACCAGCTGGATCAGGGTAATGGGCTTTGTAAATAATTACGTTTTCATTGTACTTTGAAGTGGTACCTGCGTTGCATCTGTCTCTTTAGTTGTTTTCGAAATTATACACGATATAAACTTATTTTTGGAGATTAAGAAACCTGCAATAAAGTAACTTCGATATTTTGTATGCGTTGAGGTTTTCAATTTCTTTTACCCTTCAATAATGTTTTAATATTTTGATAAGTGGAATAGAAAGATTAGGATAGGTAAAAAATAATTTAAACGATAATGTAAAGAAGCACATTAGATTTTTTTTCATTTAATTTTATTATATAAAACTACTATCAATGTTTCATTCAAATGTGCGTTCAATCGCTTTGTACCAGCATGGCATCTCGATTTTAATCTCACCATTAAAAAATGGTTAACGCTCCTCTTACTTGACTCGTTCGATCGAACTATGACATTTTAGAATGCGTATACTTTGACGAAGAACAGGTACCATGACGTGAATAAGCGAGCTCGTTTCGCCATTTACGTCTATAGTTCGTAGCAGCTCGCATGCGTTTTGCCGTCGTAAACCTACTTTCTTTTCAGTAGCACCGTATTAAAAAATAATTATCATTCCTTTTTCATCCTCTTGAAATTTATGTGTGTCCAAATTTAGTTTTGCCTCTCTCTTCTCTCTTTCTCTTCCTCGCTTTTCCTCTGTTCAAATTTTATTTTCTTTTCGTTCGAGTGTTAGGAGAGACTCGAAGGAAAATATTTCATCGTTCGTATCATTATTGTTGGCACGTATGCAAATATATACATATCTGTTTGGGGAAAAAATTAAATTCACTTAAAAGATACTGGTTAAGCAATGAAGTATCTTCCTCCGAGTTTTCCTAGAACGGAACGTTTATCGTTCTAGTGAAATCTGTATCTATATTTGTAAAAGGAAGAGTTTTGCTTTATACCTTTTGTTCGTGTTGGGTAAAAAATAGTCTATCTGCCTCCTTGAAACAAACATTATTGTCAAGATATATTTATAGCCTAATCTTTGGTGTGGTTTTCCTACTGGTTTTTACAATGTTTTTCAAATTTTAGGCATATGCTACGCTCGTGTACGCGTGTTAAGACAAAAAAGAGACAAAGTATATGTTTGCATCGTTTGCATTTCAACATGCGCGTGTATCTATCGGCGACACTCCTAAAGAAACCTCCTATGACGAAACCTAACTCGTTTCGAGGTACATATTCAATATAATCTGTGTACATAGAGAAAATACATTTTGCAGTGTCGATAATCGTCTAGCTTCGGTGGAAGACTTGCGAAATTATGGACTATAGCAGATGTGTAACTATCATAGCGAAATATGAACTTCTACAATGCCGCACTGCGACTGATTTTATTGAGTGATCGAGAATGCGCTAATAGTTATTACAAGGAGGGTCGCTCAGTGTCCCGCCCCCTTAACTTCGTTAACAAGTTATTCAAAGCGTTCAAAAATAGTTCGTGTGGACATCACTCGATATTTAAATTACCTACTTAATTCCCATCGTATACGAAGGCAACTATTTGAAGACACGTACACATTGTATCGATGTTACAAATATTAGGTATGCGGATTTCATTCAGTTCGTAACATATGCGACTTAACGACTGATCAACTAAAAACAAAATTCAGTGTAGTATCCAAGCTGAAATAATATCTCGAATATACTTTTTTCTTAAACTGTTTCATATCCGGATTCTGGGATGCCTTTTCCTTCCTTTACTTATCTTTGATCACAATCTTCGCGAAAACGCGGATTGCCCATCGATCTAAAATTATTTATAGCTAAAGACTATCATAAGACCTCGTGTACATACATAGTCCAATTATGATAAACTTAATTTCTTCACGACTAGATGAACAAGGAAAATAATATCGCGGAATCATTGTAGTACGGGACTAAGTAGTGAATCAAACCGAATCGAACTAAGTTGAATCGAGTCATCTGCATGAGAATTCGGTTTAATTCAAACAAAAATATTTCGGGCAACAAGGTATGCTCTATATTACTATACAATATATGTATCTCCGCAAAAGCACAGCCTTATTAGGCATTGGCCTTCATTCAGTTACATATACATTTTTTCGATGTATTGCTTTTTTTCGTGCAAAAAAAGTATTACCTTTCCACATGGCGTACTAACAAAGCGATTAACTAACTTGTAATTTTCCTTATACAAGGAAAAAACCATAGAATATGTAACGACGATAATAACCACGGAAACTATGGCGACGACGACGACGACGATGACGATGGCGACGGCGACTATGACGATGACGATGACGATGATGATGACGGTGATGGTAACGTTGATGATGATAATGAAGATAACAGCGACGACGACGACGACGACGATGGTGATGCCGGTGACGAAGACGATGTCAATGATTTTTCGAGAGAGGATATTTTGTACGACGCATCGATAACTATAGTCGCCTCACACGAAATAATCGACGAAATCTTTGCAATCTATTAGAATGCAATTTTTATGGAGCGATCGTCTGATCAGAATCCTGATCTCCAACGAGATAGAGAAATTGGAAAGCGATTGCCAATAAACTGATGCCTAATAGGTCTCCCATTGCCGTCAAGTACGGAATTGCTGAATTATCGGGATCGATTTTTCGCTTCCACATCCAATGTATCATTATGTAAGCAATGTACAGGAGAGCAGCAACCTGCAGCGTGGAGGCACACAAGTAAACAAAAACGAAGAGTGGCGTTAACGAAGTGTTGCCGTCCTTCATATAATTGATCAGGTAAATGAAAATGATGTGACCTGGTATAACCATCGCCATTAGGACCCTTGTTGTTCTCGCGTGCATACCTGAGAATCAAAGAAAGTAGAAGTAATTAATTCACCTTTAGGTTGATATTAAGTGGAGACAGATGCATATACACCGTCGACAACGAGCATTAGGACAAAACCACGTGTTACGTTTACTGGGAAATTTTACCATGTTTCGCTTTATTATTTTATTAAAGGCTGGTATTTTTCTTAAAATACTGTTACAAGAAATTCCTTGTACTTTTCCAAATTACGGAAACGTATCAAAGGCATAACTTAATTAATTATGAAACTAAAGGAACGATTCTTGCACGATTTGAAACAAATAACTAAATGCAAATTCCCAATATCTTGATTCGCATCACCATGGTTTCCGATTTGCCATACGATGACAATGAAATAACAGATTCATAATATAATAACAAGAAAATAAAAGCGGTAAATGGCAATCAATTTGTACTAAATATGAACAGGCGTCTTGATACTCGTGGTCGTCGGTGTAAGTCTCGACTCGTGAGTTTCGTTAATATGGCTTAATTACCTTTGCCGAAAAAGTTAGCGATAGGTGTAATGAAGATAACAGGATGTGTGTGACCCGGTGGAATTAGAAGCGTTCCCAGTTCGGCTTGCTTATGAAGGGCCGTCGATATCCTGCTTGCTTGCACAGCTACCAAATTTCCACCGACACCGTTGATCACCGGTTGGAAAACGGTCAGGTTTTCGAATCGCGACACCATGAATTCGAGTATTAGACCACCGCAACTGCTTGGTCAACAACAGCGGTCGTTCGTGTTCACTTTAATAGTTAGTTCGTGCCTTCTTTTTCTGTTTACTTTCCTGAGTCGTTCTTGGCACTCGCAATAATTTTAACGAAACGGAATATCTGTACTCACCTGCTGATCAACATAGCGATCATTACAGGAGTCCATCCGAAGTAAAGGACATCGTTGGTGTACTTGTTTCTCTTGGCGATCCATACCCAGAGCGGCGTGACAAGGATGTAACAAGCGATCACCAGAGGCGCGACCCAATCTTGTTTATTTATCGATTCGTAGAGAATCGTGGATATCCAAGAGAGCAGGGCTAAGGAAGTGATGTCACCGAGACTGGCGGCGATTGGTGTCGCGACGTTATCCGGATTTATGTGACAATGACGGGAGAAAACAATCACACCTGCGGTGATCAATCCAAGGACGAAGGATGCCAAAGAGGCGGTAACTAGGCTGCTTGCACATAATAGGTATGCATGATCCAACGAGATGGTACCGTTTCGGAATGCTCCCATTACGATTGCCACCACAGAGCCCAGAAATCCAACCACTATCGCCTGGCACTGCCAACACGAACTGATCTTCTTTACACAAATATCACGCCAAACGGCAGAAATAACGGCTGTATAAGACATATTACTAAAAAACTGTTGACCAGAGGAACGGAGACAAATACAAGTGAAAATTACACGGGAAGAACAGGATGAGTCCATTTTTATCAACTTTCTGAGCTTGATGTCGCTTGAAAAGAGGAATCTAGCAAATCTGGCAGCATCAAAATAGTTGAAGAGTCTTGAAATTTTACAGAAAATCAATAAATATTCTTAAAATCTCTTAAAATGTATTTAGTCCAAAAACCAAAGAACAAAATGGTTTGGCAGTGCAAGATCGAGCGACGGCACGGCGAATAAATCCTCTATAAAAACGTAACTTGTCACATTCTTCCCTTGTGGTCTTCCAATAGAGATGTATTGCGCGCATCTTACCCATTTTTTTGCATGATTTTTCGATTAAATATTCAAAGGATATATCGTGACTTTTAGAAATATAGCAACGTTTCAGAGTATCAAGATAAGTCCGATAAATAATTAGGGAACTGTACAACGTAGATATCTTTAATGTTCTTCCAATGAACTGCGAGTGTTCCCAAGATAAAGGATGTCCTGGTTAATAGATTAATAAAAAATGAATATTGCAAATTAAAACGTATGCATTTTGTGGTAAATGATCGTACGATCAGGTGGAAGAGCGCAAGTAACATGACGTTTACACTTGAAGGTCGTTTACCGTTGACGCGTTGAACGTATAATCAAATAAAATTGTGGCGCCAATGATAAGGCACCTGCGAGTCGTACGTCTTGTCAGTTCAGGTATCTGACATGGAATAATTTTTGTGGCCAATATATCGTAAGATGTGTTGACAATTGCTAGAGTTTGTGGAAAAAGTCGTGGAATTAACGAGTACGAAAAGAACGAGATAAAGGAGACGACAAGATGCAATAAAGTAACAGACGACGCGTTGGAATAGAAAAATCGACAATGATGTGGAACGATCGCAAAAAGCGATAGGTAAGTGGAAGAGAGAATAGAGATAAAGAGAAAGGGAGAGTGCACTTGAGACAATATTTGCGGATAAAAAACAAGGAAAGATTAAAAATAGAATGTGAATCCGACTCACTTGAATCAAGACGAGATTTCCGACGATCATGTGCCACTGTTCTTTCGGCGCGTCCATGTGTCCGAGATTTGCTTGAGTCGAAAGACGAGATGCGAGAGTCATTTCCAAATTTCCTTTCAAACCCAACAGTGCTGGTACCAGAATGATGAGCTCGCTCACTTTCTCAAACACGACCCAATGCTGTGGAAAGCAGCGACGTATAAAAAGGACGTTAAATCTGAAGCTGTACGGTATTTAATCCGATTTCGATGGAAGAGATAGAGGAAGACGAGGGAAAAAATGTTTTCATACTTGAACCAAATCTAGGACTAATCCAGCTCCAACCATGCCAAGGCCGGCAATAAGAAACGGTATAAAAACTTGAATAGTGATCGCTAGGTACGATTCGAGGGGTTCATCCCCGTTTACGCCGTAGATTTTACTCTCAGCGACGACGTCGGGGAGGCGGCCGCTATCAGTGGTTCCCTCGTCGAACATGGGTACCTCGACGCAATCTTCCTCGATGGATTTGTCGGTAGGATCGGTGGTAGTATTCACCCCGACAACGGTGTCCATCCATGCATTCGCATTCGTGCCCGTTCCCATAGCCGTCACCGCAACCATACTCGTGCCTGTGGCAGAAGTTGTGCCCATGATCGTGTTTCCGACTGTTGATTCTGAGATAGTGCGCGAACGAGCACGAACTGGCGTTACCCTGTGGGTAGTTTGCTTCTCGGAAAGCAAAGGTTCCTTACATTGATCACTGTCAACAGAAAGTTAATATAAAATGCATATATTCATAATAAACACGTGTGAACGTTTATAGCATATACATGTATTTATACCCGACGGTAGATAAACAGGTATTTTTATGAATGTGTAAACCGAATTCCAATCAAGAAATGTAATCGAGTCACAGATATGGCAAAACGTACGTCTTAATTCTATCAGCGATATCTCGTTCAAGATCATGGTTGTCAACTAGTCCGTAATTTATTTATTATCGTGTACGCTTCGAGGATGTACGAGCTGCGTATCAGATTTAAGATCGAAAACGAAATAATGTCAATCGTTGAACGTACTTTTCAGTTTTGGCTCCTGTAACATCGATATGGGCGTGTTTGTCGGGAGGTAGTCGTACCGGATGTTGATGCACCTGGTCCTCTATCATCTTCTACTGAGGACCCCGTGTGACTCGCTGCCACGGATATATAGCCATTCTCCTTTCAGAATGATAACGCTTGTCTAAATGTTCGCTCGTTGTAGTTGTATTTCAGGACAAGAATCGAGCAAATTACGTAACCAGCGAGGGACGATATCTCTAGTCTGATTCGCTCGGAACCACTGTAAGGCACGTCGAAAATTAAAACACATCGACTTTTAACGTCGTAAGCAAGTCAGATTTGGTGTTACGAATTCTGCAAACTGTTCTTTTGCTCGTACCAAACTATCGATGATTCGATCGGTGCATTCATTATATTCGACACGTTGTCTATTGCCACTCGTTACTTTCGATATCACTGTTTTTTCTTTTCTATCCATTTTCACTAATCTGCATCTCTCATAATTTTTCATTGTCTCATTTATCTTTGTCACTAGTCACATTATAAAAAAAGAAAAAATTAAAATCAAATATCGAATCAACCTACATTTCGTTCGTGTAATATCACGTAAGAATATGATCGTCTTTAAAACGATTCTAATAGTCAAGTATATTATAATTTTACGTGAAAAAACTTGAATATTATGGTTATTTAAAATCGTAAAATATTTCTATAGTCGATGATCACAATTTTTATTCGGACATAGTCTCTTCGGATGAAAATTAAGACAAAGATATCAAACGTTTGTTTTCTAGCTTGAAAAAGGTGTCAAAAGAGAAAGAAGAAAAAGAAAGAGGAAAAGAGAGAGAAGATGAACAACTCCAAAGTGTAGTTTGCGGATTATAAGATATCGATTAGCGTCCCTGCTGTTTACGTAACGAATACGTTTCGGCAAAGGAAGAAATATGAATTTTGGAAAGATGTTACATAAATATCATACTTGGATGTGCATCGATACTTTGACCATACCTGTACCTCTGTAAGGGAATCCTCGATGGTGTGTCGAATCGTGGCCAGATTCATAGACTCGAAAAATCTGATTTTTAATGTTCTCAAAACTGTTGTATCGATTCTGATAAAAAAGAAAATCAACCGTCGTCACGCATCTGGTGGTGTAAGGCTGGTGGCCTGGTGCGAGGCCGTTTCACGCTATGGTTACATCGCGACTGATCTCGATCATGCATCACGTTTGTCTCCTTTAAACTCACTTAGGACTTTTACCGGGAACATACGGTAAACGGAGCAAGCGCGAATTTATCGATCGTCAGCCCAAGTAAACCTTGATTGTTCGTCTACCTTACCGTCTGTTATTCCTCGCCTATCTACCTGTCTGCTTTTCTGCTTTCTTGCTTGTCTGCCTAGCTGCCTGCCTACCTGCCTGCCTTCCTATTTGTCTGCTTGCTTGCATATCTCTCTTACTTTTTCTGCCTTACTCTTTATCTGTTTACGTTTATCTGTTATTCTAACTGTTCGTTCACGCAATTAAATATCCATTCGCATGTTTGATTATATTTCGTTCGCTCGACGAGGCTACTTTTTTAAACTTGTTTATCGGTTAAACCCTCTCTTTGTCTCTTTCTTTCCCTCTCACCACCTCTTTCTCCCTTTTACCATCTCGTTATTTTGCTCGATCGACCTTCGCGCAAAGAATCGATACCTTAATCCGTTTCGAATGTAATCTCCTATCGAGATTCGATTTTCTATCATGTAATCGATCAATCGACAAATGTTTCATCACGATATTGTTTATACCGGGGCAGAATTTATTTGAATTCAGAACGTAGGTGCGTTTTCTCGGTAAAGATCACGAACTCGATATTCATTTATCAGACTTTGAAATCTCTAAATTTACGGTATTAATCAGTTCGCTGTATACATTACTAGATCGCTTATATTGAAACTTATTCATTCCGCGTTTATCATTTCAACGTAAGTTTCCACGACTGTATTATACGATTTAAGTCAGATTCTATCATCGCAATGTTTATTTACTATTTAATTGGATCTCCTGTATGTGTACGTATTATTATATCTTTATCGCACTATGTATTCTTATCTATTTCCTAAAAGACCGGTTATGTAAGATCTCTTACAATTAGTCGTCCATAAATCGAGTGATTCGCTATGACATTGAGTTTCAACTCTAAACTATGTCGTGATGCCACGATAATCTACGTTTCCCGTATTTTATTAATTCAATATACTTTCCTTACTCGCTAATTAAATCGACTTCCGTATTTTGCCTGCGAATTCTACTCTTTTTTTTTCCTCGATGAGTTCATTCAATTTTGATACAGTAACTCGGTTTAAACACATCTTGAATACGAATAATGTTGACGTCGCAATTGATCTCAAACACGTGGTATAGAGAACTAATTGCTGCAAGTATAAAATTACAATTGCATCTACAAAGTGTGCGATCTTCGAAGGAAAAATTGTAGAATTTTGACATCGTTACGTATCCCATTTAGATATATAATAATTTATAGATATTAAAAATAATTAAAATAGTGTCGGTATTTCTTTCAATAGATTTAAGCACTCTCGATAAAGTTCGAAACAAATTGATACAAATAACGTAAAAGAGATTGAAACATATCGAGTAAAGTTTTAATAATAATTAAAGATAGAATAATTACGATTTATGGCACGAATATGCAAATGAGTAAATTTATAATGCGATGGAAAAATGGAGTGGAAAGAATGAAGGTACAGAAAAAGGAAAAGAGAGATAGGAATGCCGAGGGTGACTACTATTATCGTAATTGCGATACGTTATGATATCACGTGTACTTATAAGTGCGATATATCATTTTCGATCGTTCTACAGCCACACGACATATTTCTTCAAATGTAAGTATTATCCAATAACCACAACGTTGTAATATTAATCGTAGAAGTATATCTGCAGATGAATGAAATAATAGAAATTGTGAATAAAAAGCGCTGTTCGTCTCATCATGTTATAAAGTCGGAAGGACATCGGGTAATCAGAAGTATCTTAATTATAAAAATGAAATGATCGTATGCGGTCGGAAATCGAATATGTCCTGCAACATTCATGCATCGGGATTTGCAAACATTGCCGTTTAACGTTAACGGCGCGCGAGTACGAAGCACTTCCGTAACATATTCACAAATTGATAAATTACTCCACGTGTTTAAGTTCGACCATGAGGAGCAATAACTTAACATACGTTTTGATACTTGGTTCCCGTGACCCGTGAAGCGTGCATTCAATCGCATCTCTTTCGTTTATCATGGAAGGCCAAGAATTTCGTTCCTTCGTCCCTATAGTGCCCTCGTATCTCATGACAAAGGGGGTATAGTAGTTGTGTCGTAATTATACTTACTCACGGTTGTATCGCGAGGCGGAACGGTAGTAAACAGCAAGGAAATACGTAAGAAGAAAATAGATCACGAAACAAAGATTCACGTTAAAACGTGTTTTACAATCGCCTTTCTTCACACACCGTCAAATTGCATTTTTCTTTCTATTCCAATTAAAACTTAACGTGTTATGAAAATCAATGACTGATATATAATTTTCTACTTTGATAGTTACTTTCGTTCTGTATTTTATTTTGTCTTCTTTCTTTCTTTCTTTCTTTCTTTCTTTTTCGTAATTGACGATGAGTAAACGAAGAATGAAGGACAGAGTACGAAAGACGTATGTATCTACAACGTACGAATGGGGGACGATAAAATACAAACGAAAAAGAATAACACGGATCCGAGACAAAAGTATAATCGACTGAGCGGATTTTTATTTCTTCCGTTACCCTTTCGTTATTACGTATTTAGTAGAAAAAGGGATCCAAAAGAAATATAGAAACGGATATTCGACCGGTAACAATCGACTCAAGGTTCGCGACACTCTCTCCCTTTCTTCTTGAGAACTAGAAGCTACCGCGGCGGACGTAGGGAGGTCAGTACGAGAACAGTTTTAGAAAACGACTTAATCAAGCAACGCGATAGATAAAATCTAAAAGGCTCCGCCGAGAACGAGGCGATAGTTGGCACTGACAGATCTAACTATTTCATTGACGGAGACAGGCTGATGTGCTTCTCAACCACAGCTTGGTCGTTTCGTTTGTACGTTGTGCGTGTGCGAATCGTTGACTAATGTTGATGTGCACGTGCACGCATCATGATGTATATTCGTTGAACGCACACGCTCAGATGCTGCCTCGCTTATGCGATTACGCTTACAAACCTTTAAGCCCTATTCGTAACTCGATCGTACAATATCGTACGAAAGAAAGACACCACTGTTACGGTCCAAGTAGAATTGCGCTTAACTCGAACCATATTACAATTTGGCCTATCTGCGGCTGCACTCATAGCGTTCTTACCCCTGTATATATCTTATCGCGAAACTTCTATCTACTCATACTTCTCTTCTACTTTTCCTCATTTTTTTCTCCTTCTGCGTTTCCTCTTAATCCATTTCCCCTTTAACGTTCATTCTGATTCTGGATTACATGCTTCAATTTTTAAAGCAATTATAATACCGTACGTAATAAAAATAGAACAGGAGGAAACCTGGAAATTGATGAGAAATAGTAAAGGTGCAACGACGTATATATTTTAGTCGAATTTATTTCGACTAGTAAGTACAATATTTGGTACAAAATAGTTGAGCATGTTGCGTTATATACGGTATGCTGGACGTGCTCACTTTAAAAATGGCAATTGAAATGAACGCTGTGTTCGTCAAATGTTATTAACGTTCGTACATACGTGTTTGCATGATGGTATTAAGAAATACAAACGATAAGTATGTATCTTTATACATTAATAACATACATGTAAAAATACGTAAATATTGATATTTAAGAATCGAACAATTCGATCACATATCGTGTAAACTTCACGAACGTATTGCCTATGAGATGACTGACTTTGAAACAATCCCAAGATTTGCTCCAAGATCAGATAATTTTCCTCCGTCCATAACATTCATTACTTTTTACATTTGTATCAAAATCAAGAAAAAGTACTGTACAACGAAAAGTGGCAAAGAAAAAAATAAGCTATAAGAAAACAGCGAAGAAAACAAAGAATAAAAGAAATAATAATATGGCTTGTTACAGAATACAATATATAAAGATAGGAATTGCATGAAATATTTCAAACTCAATTAAACATCACACAAAATCGTCAATGTTCTCTTTTCTATACACATTCGGTATCTCACGCGAGCTCTGATTATAAAATCCAATCAGTCTCCAACATCAGAATCTCCATCTCCTATGGCATACAGTAGGTGAAACGCGATTCCTAGTAGTGCTGTTCCTATTAAATCACCTGCTGCAGTTAGATATGGTATTGCAGAACTATCTGGGTCCATTCCTCGTATCCACATCCATACAACCATCAATTGTGTGATGTATAACAATAATACTACCTAACGTTCAAACGAAAATACGAATGCAATGATCTAATTGTTCATTGCGTTCTTTTATTGATTATATAATACAAGCGCTGATGAAAAATTGGCTGTATACCTGTACTAAAGCGGCAGTCAGATAAACAATGAGAAATATAGGTGTAAAGGAAGTATGACCAGCTTGGAGGTAACTAATGGTATAGCTAAATATCAAATGACCAGGTATTACCATTGTTAACAGAACTCTAGCAGTCCTTGCGTGTCCGCCTGTAATACATTCCCATTGTACCATATGAAAGACATCTTAAGTTTAGTTATAATTGACATACCTTTGGTACAGAAAACGTAGAACGGGTTGAAACGAACGACGGGTATTTCTTGATTATTAAATCGGCAATCTTTATGCAAAGACGTCGATATTCTACTAGCCTGAACAGCAGCTAGATTACCACCAACGCCGTTTATTACTAATTGAAATACTGCTATACCTTTGTAATTGGATACCGTATAATCTAGTATCAAACCACCCATACTAAAATTAATAGAAACATTGCTGTTAAGCGACCAATGTTGATTTTTGCATGCGACAATTGCATGCATTTTCAAACTGAAGAATATGTAAATACCTGCTAATTAACATTGCACATATCACAGGTGCCCAGCCGTAATCTAATATTTCCTTGGTAAATGGATTTTTAGCTGCGATATAATACCAAAGTGGCGTGACAATGACATGAAATATTATTAACATGGGTGCTATCCATTGTGCATATTCTGAAATAATGTTGCGAACATTTGGTTAGTGGAAAGCTATTCTACTTTTAAACAACTGTATACACTTTTGTGTTTACATATACATATATACAAATATACATATTTACCTGTTGCTTTGAATAGAAGAGATGCTATTCCTGAAAGAAGCATCAAAGTGGTTAAATCACCAAGGGAAGCTGCAATCGGTGTTGCTATATTATCTGGATCGATGTTTATCCGCTTGGATAATAATATAACTGCGACCATCACCAAGCTCAACAAAAAGCTTGCTATGGATGCAGTAACTAAGGCACTGGCGCATAACAAAAGCGCGTGGTAAATATCAAACTGTGCTTCTGGAATCCAACCAAGTATGATAGCAGCTAAAGAAGCCAATAAGCCTACTACGGTTGCTTGACATTGTATTAAAGCAAGATTTCCAACGATCAAAGTCCATTGCTGTTTCTTTGTATCCATGTGTCCAAGATTTGCATGAGTTGAAAATCGTGAAGCTAATGTCATTTCCAAGTTTCCTTTCAAGCCAAGCAATGCTGGCACCAATATATATACTTCGGATACTGTTTGATATACAGGCCAATGCTACAGGAAAGAAGGAAATCAACCGACGTGTGCGTTTAAACATTTTCTCAATGTTTTTATATTGCGCTCCTATCAAATTCGGTACTCGTACGTACCTGCACAACATCCAGTAACATACTGGCAGCCACCATACCGAAACCAGCTAACAGAAAAGGCACAAACATTTGTATAGATATAGACCAAACATTCTCATCTCTGAATTGCCTAAATTGAGTGTCTCGTGTAACTGATTTTTTCGCATCATCGTTAATACATTGATGATCAATTGGCGATGGTATAAGTCGCTGTGTATGTTCTCCATCGCTTTCCGTTTCTTCATCAGTTTTAACTTCCACTTCCATGGTAATATCGGAAATATTCGATCGAAGTGATTCATCACTATCTAGTCCCACCATTCTGTTTACGCGAAATTTCTTTTCTGATTTTCTCTGTCGTATGTCTGATAAATTACTTGCGTTCACCTTCATTCCTACATTAGCATGGCTCATTCTTGATAAATCGCTTTCCAAGCAGTATTATCGAAAACTGTAACGAAAAAGATGATTGCTGCTATTCTTTTGAACTCTGACAAAGATTGCGAATTTGCATCTTAATCAGAAGAATGTGAGTGTAATTGTTGTAACTGATGTGTAATTAACGAGCATTACTATTATTACTATTATTGTTATCATTATTGTTATTATTATTATCATCATCTACAGCATCAACGTCTTCATCCTCCTGTTCTTCATCATCGTCATTGCATTTATCATTATCATTATCATCATTATCATCGTCCTCATTATCATCATCATCATCATCATAATCATCATCATTATTATCGTCATCATCATCATCGTCAATGTCATCATGATCATTATCACTGTCATCGTTTTCGTCATTACTACCACCATCGCTATTATCATCATTAATATTATTGCATTGCTCGAGAGTTTCCATCTTTGATATATTTTCTCTCTTCACCATATAATTAACAATAATTACAATACTGTACAGTAAAAGAAAGATCTCTTTTCATTGCACATAGGACAGCTTATCTTTTTATTCTTGCTGTACAAAACTGTCAAACGAAAATTAGCATCGTATAAGAAAAAGCATGCATTCTGCACAGAAAAAAGTATTTATTGTGTGTTCATTTTGAAAGTACATAATATTTCCATATCTTACGCATCAGATGACATTAGGCGTGAATTGACTAATTCTTAATGATCGATATCGATATTTGTATCCATTATCCATTTGGGATGAAGTCAAACGCATTGCTTTTTACCTGTTTTGTAATCGATTGTTTCGTAATCATGATCGAATGGAAAATTCGATGAAAACAATTCATAACGGAGAAACGAGAAAATGAAAGACAATGAAACACAATTTCATGGTCGTGAAGTTAATGATAAGATCAAAGTAATTGGCGAATATGATACGAGTAAAATTATGAAAGTCAAAAAATGAACGACAGTGAAATTAATAGAATTCGTATAATGATACGTTTAAGCATTTAATAGATATCTACCGATATAAAATTTTAGAAATAATAATATCCAGAGTAAATGGAGGTTCGTTATCTAAAAGATTGCCATAAAATAGAAAATGGTTATAGCTTGAAATAAAAGTGTAATTGTTTATAACAATAATCTATCATGAAAAACGATATTATATAGTACAAAAAATTTGATCGAGATAGGGATGCTACAGGTTAAAATGCCATGTTTATGTGTAAAAAAGGTGTTTCCATTGTAATTGCATAATTGCATAGCTTAATATTTTTGATTTTACGTACGAGATATTTAACATTGATAATGATATTCTGGCTGTTAGTAGTATTTTTATAAATAATCTTTTGGCAATAAAACAAGGAAATACTGTATTGCCAAATTGATGATGTTTCAACGTGGAAAACATAACCTCGATGCCGTATAACCTACCTTGAACGTATAGTACGGCTCCATATTCGTTCGTCGTTCAACCACGTGGAGGCGTTCTCAGTTACCAGCGAAAAAGTATGAACAGCTGTAATACGAAACATTAATAATCTAGTTATTGAACCGTGAATGATGTATGCACTCTTTCATGGTACATATGTACGTGTTATATAATATTCACGCAATGCAATATGTATATCGACGAGTTCAAGTTTGACGAGTTTAAAGTTGTAATTTCGAACTATTGAGTTAAAGATGTACCAGAGATACGCGAGATCATATAGATAAAAAACAGACAATTGGATAATAAATGGTTGATGATAAACGATATAACTGATTTTATTGTTTGTATGGAAACGTAACAAAAAAAGAAATTTACTTTACCGATACGTTTCAGTTTGTAAAAATGATAAAAAGCGAAACTAATCTGAGAACGAATTTTCTGAATATTATGAAAATCTATAAAATAGGATTAGTATTTTATATTGCAATGTTAACGGAGGTGGCAGTTGTCATGTACTCTTCCATAAATGAAATTGTTTCTTTCGTTAAATATAAGAAATTAAATTTACATACAGGAATATGCTGAACATATGTTTAGAATGCAAAAAGAAATTTTTATAAAGTAAATTGGAAAATTAAAGTAATAAACAAAAAATTATACAATTATTTATTTTTGTATATATTCTTTCACGTACGTACGACTAAATGCATAATTTCCTAAAAATGCAAGAGAAAGGTACATGCTTAAAAAAAAATGTAGTCTTGTGTTGAATAGTAGAACAAGAAATTTAATAAAAGCTTTGATGATCGTAAAATAATGCAAAAATATTGATTTCGGAAGAAAATTCAATAGAAAATCGAAGGAAGAAATAAAAAAAAACACGCGGCTGCTTTGTAATAAATTCATCTTATTACAAACGAAGACTAATTAATTTAGATGCAAGTTACCCTGGGCATAGGGGATATACACGGGGGAATGATGCTCGAAATACTTTATCTGGGCAATGGGCATAGTGCCCGTAAGAGAGTTCTGTCTAGACGATGCATGCGTATTATATGAGACTTCGACGAGTTAGTTTGCGTCCATTGTGCGCCTTTCTATTGTCAAATCGATCACACGTTATTTACGTCATATCATTTGAAATAGAATCGGATAATTGTTTTTCTTTTTAATAATAATGGATTCATATACATCATAAATATTATTTAGTGGTTTATTACTCTTATATTATCAAGATTTAGTGTAATATTACAAGGTAAGAGAATTTCTTATTTATCGTTCGTGTCTACTAAATTTTTAGTACAAATTTTAATCTTCTTTTCTCGTATCCCCTTTTTTCTCTTTTTCTCTCCTCCCCGTGTATTCTTAATCGGATTCGTTTGCTCGTTCATTTGCATTTCTTCGTTACACGCTTTCGATCCAGATAAAGTTAGATCCAACACTTGTATATAATAGATTGCACAATTAAGAAACACTTGAAAGCTCTTTGTTACATAATACTTTCAATTAAAACAAAACTGAGGCATTAAATATACAGCTACATCACGCGAGAGGTGACCCTATTAATTTACCAATATAATCATGATAATCGTACCACATTGTATGTACGTGCGAAATTTTTTGCATAACCCATATATTTAAAGACAGTTTCCTTAAGGGTTCACATACTTTCGCGACTGTTCAAACGTTTCCCACTATAGCTGATTAATATAATAAATATCAAATTATGGAAGAGAGAGAGACAGAGAGAGAGAGAGAGAGAGAGAGAGAGAGAGAGAAAGGAAATAAGAGAAAAGAAGGAAATAAAAAAGCACGAAATAGAACACGTCAGTACCGTAATTAATTTCAAATTTGAATAAAGTGACAGTGCACGAGTTTCGAAGAATCTGCGATGGGTCGCAGAAAACATCGGAGCAAAGGAAGCAAGTTACCACCGTTGAGATCGTCGAAATGTAACGTCGCTTGTGAGAAATCAACGACTTGCGATGAAACGAAAGCGAAGGAAGAGAGAGAAAGAAGAGGAACAACAGAGAAAACTATAACACCCGATGTTATGCGTTACCAGAAAGAAAGGACAGACTGTTTTCACCAAACGAATGATCCAATCGGTGTACGTTCGCGATTAATGTATCCTTTGGTTCAGCTGTCTTTGTTAATCAACTCATCGATATTATCAGAGGAGAATGAGAGCGTAGAGGACGAATGCATCGAATTAAAGGTAAAGCCACGGTTCGTATTCGTGTCTAGCCTTTGTATGGTTTGCTCGAAGAAGTCTCAGTTATTCTGTGAGCGTTGCCAAATGGTGTCTTATTGCTCGATAATGCATCAAACCCAGGGACTGTCGCAGCATCGTGAGTTGTGCGAAGCACTGACAGAGATTCATTCGTCCATCGTCTTGACACTCTCTGATGGTTCTGGCGTGCAATTGGACGCGGACCAGTACCGTATTTATCGGTTAAAATTGCTGGCGATACTCGAGTCTGAGGTCAAAAGATCGTTGGATCTTTGGGAAAAAGAAATCATATTATATCCTAGAGTTTGTCGAGTTTGTCGTCGATTTAGCGAGAAACTGATCTGCTGCGTGCACTGCGGAATGGAATTCTTTTGCGAGGAACATGGTGACGAACATAAAAATTGGTGCGAAGAGTTCCGAGTTTATCAAAGAATTTTGCACCTCCAACACAAACACGGTTACGTTAATCCGAAAATTCCGAACGTGCATCTGGAAATGTTCGTCGCGCAGCCAGAATTCGATTTCGATAAATTAATGCATCGAATTTACGGGAATTCTTTATATTATCGTCAAATGGATTGTTATACGTACGCTTTATTATCGCATCTGTGCACTATCCCACTGACAGCCCTTTATTCCATGCAGATTTCTTGCTCCGAATGGCGAAATAGAACCGATTGGACTATTCATATACTCGGCGCGGAATTCCAATTCGAAGGTATACACTTAGACGTCTGGGAGAAAATGTTTCTTCATTTCTTACCGAACTTACAGAAGCTCCATTTGATACTGATCGGACCAGAGTTACAATTACCGAAAGACGTCCCACCTAGATTTTTATCCATGGTTCAACTTTGTAAGAAATGTAAATCCGCTGGTCGAGCTGTTATCGTTACGTTTAAACCGCAGAAGCTTTATCACTGCTTGGTTCGCGACCCATCGCAAGCTCTTGCTACTCCTGATTTAATTTGTCTCTACAATCCTGGTCTCTATCGGACGACTGGGTTTGCAGGAAAAGACACATGGCTCGAAACGATACGCGAGTTTTCCAAGACGTTAGCTCCAACCACCATCACGTCTTACACTGCGCAAGAAATGCTTTGGGAAATAAATCGAATAAATTCCGTCGCTGACGTCGAAGTTCTTTTACAACCGTGTAAAAATCCATTTGCGTCGGTCAAGCCAGACCGAAACTTCGTTAGCGATAATACTAACCCTCTTATCTATAAGAATTACTACATTACCATTGTCAAAGGGAAATCGATTGTACTCTAGTCCTCTGTATCGCACACGCGGATAAAGTATACACGCGCGCCTTTATACGCTCTTATCGTTAGATTTACTATGTATCAACTGCAAAGTGTATGCTTTTACGGCTTGAAAACTCGTCAAGTATACACGAGTTTGAGAAATTCCCAACTAGATAGGAGCAGACAATTGGCAGGACATTATTTTTCATTCGGAAGTAGGTAAAAAATGTAGAGTAAGAGAGTTTTCCGCTTTGAAGAAAATAAAGTTGGAACTTGTATAATCAAGAATTAGTCTGATAGTACGTGCGTACTCGATGAATCGAAGGGCTCTTGACAAACTCGGCTCTAGCGTCTTTATGCATACTTATATGTACGTTTTTTTACCGTTTTAATAAATCATCCTCACGAGACGATTTCTCCTGTCTCCGTGTATTTTTGTATTCCTGATTTCCACATGTTCAACGTCGATTCGCATACTTTTTCCGATATCAGAATAATCGAACAATAAGTTGATGTATCTGAGGTACCAGGACTGTGCTCTCGTTCCTCTTGCATTTCAGGATTTACGTTTAATTACGTAGACGAATTAGTCGATTGAAATGTGTGTCAGGGGCATCGTAGATTCTTTTCAGAAAGATCGAAGGGGGATCGGAGTGGAATGGAGGAGGAATCGACCAAGACGGACGAACGTTCTCGCCGAAGATCGAGTAAATGAAAACATATACGTGGCATTGAGCGCAAAAGCGAGCTAAGCTACTTCTTCTCTAAATGCGAGTTTACAACGTTGTTTTATTCGCTTCTGTTCTCAATGTTTCGTATCGTCGTACATCGGAAACGGTTTTCCGTTCGATTTTTTTTCCTTTGGTCAACTGTAAGTGAACCGCATATTTTTCAAAAACGAGTACAATTATAGTTATGGTTACGATTATCAGCTAATTTGCGTATATATCACAGATGAAACTGCATTAATTAAATAACTTAGGTTCTCTGACACGCGCTTACAAGGGCGTTAAGGCCCGTTTCAGACGCGTTCGTTAGTTTGGTAGAACGATTTTGTCGAGAAGATCCGTTTTATTAGATTTTATTGCCATAATACTATGGATACGTTTGAAATACACGTACGTTCGAAACGGATCTTTCTACATCCATTAGAAGATCGACCAAATCGTTTCACTAAATTACTCGACTACACTTTCGTCCACACACGGTAAGTTACTAAAATTACTCGCCACTCGACTAAACCATTGAAACGTCTTACTAAACTACTCGACTAAATTATTAGTCGCGTCTGAACGAGCCTTTACATTACGCACGCATACATGTACGCAAGTATATAAATATACTATAGTAAGTTGAGCCAGACATTGAAATACAATATGAATCGTGAAAATTATATACAAAGGACAATTCGTATTGTTGATCACTGTATTCTAGATCAAACGTACCAGTAGTTATTTGCGAATATATTTGCCGCTTATGCGTATGTGTACATTACCGCTCATAAGCGTTCGAAACAACGCTTTAGTTGATTTACAGTTTATAAAAATCCTTCTTATCTCATCTGTGTTTCAGAGACGGTAAAACCAATTTTATCGTGTTGTAAAGATAAAATAACAATAATACAGAATGTAGTCGTTATTTGTTGACACGTAACTTTGGCTCGTGATCCAGTAATTAAATTACATCCTGTGGCAAAAATAAGGGAAAGAAGTTCGAATACTTTCGAGCGGTATACACGTGTGTCTTTTGTACTGCTTTCAAAATCAAAGAAAGTGATAGAAAGGAAAAAGAGGAATACAGAGGAGAAGTAACAAAGAGTAGGAAAGGTATCAAATATATTTGACGCGTAAATTATAATTGGCTATGGAAGAATTCAACGATTGGAGAAAAAGAAGGGACAGACGAGACCCAGGCAAAGAATATTTGAGCGAGAAAGAATAGCGAAGAAAACGCGAAAGTACGATCAGCAAGAAGAAGCATACTCGTCACGTGCGTTGTTCGTACTTATGGTTAATACATACGATTAATCGAACCCGGTGACGATTAAAAGCAGCACGGACGTCAAGAGAAACACAATAGGGGAACTAGTAGGTTGAGTTACCGAGTTGTGAGAGTTATCACAGTGGGAAGGCCAGTTTTTGAGGCACGCCGCATACGCTACCACGTGAGCGATGTAATTTTGCTCGAAAGTGCCACGAATCAAGTGGGAGTACGGACCTGAAAAATATTTAAGAATTAATTATATTTCTTCAAGTAGAATATAGAGTCAGAAATTGAAGAATATAAGTTTGATAGATGTCGTAGAAATTGATAACACAAAATTGTATTTTGTTTTGTGTTTTAGAATTATCGTAAAATATTATGACACAATAAAGCTACCTTCTGGAAGTTAATCTGCAATAAATAGAATGGTATCTGTCAATGTCAAACATACAGCAATTTCGTCAGTTGAACAGTGCATTATGCAACGTTGATTGTCGAGTTATATAGATAAGATAGGGACGCTTTTTCCAATTTGATGCGCTATCTTAATTAATTTTTGCGGTATTATTTACAGCAGGCTAGCTGCCACTTCATCATTAATATCCAATCGATAAGATTTTGACCTAACGATTTAAATTTCATACGACATAGTGTCCGTTGATTTCATGAAAGCATAGTATTACTTTCGATCGCTAGTTTGTCGTTAATTTCCATATCTCGATAACGTCGGTAGACGAAAGCAAGCAAAGGTAATATATTTTACCTATGGCGTAGACTCCAACGTCTTCGCCCCCGTGAGTTTCATCTTCCAAGTATATGCCAGCCATATGGGGGTAATATGGTTCATCGCGTTCCTTGTCTTGATCGACAGGTCTCCATGTTTCGTTAACGTTGTTACTATCGTTTCGCCTGTGATGATAGAATCCCGGACCATTGATGTAGCTGAGCGTTTCGTAGGACTGTATTTTTGGGTTGTTTGGATCGTTGGCGAAACCAAGGATATCGTTTCCACGTTTCGGATAACCATTCATGGTGAACGCGTGCGAGTGATCCGCAGTTACGATCACCAACGTTTCTTCCAGTTTAACTTCCTGCAGAGCGACCGATATCGCTTCTTCGAGTTCCGATAATTCCCTCAACGCTAGCTTCGCCCAGTTATGGTGATGCGCCATGTCTATTCTTCCACTCTCCACCTATACACGCAACGAATATTTTTAACCGCTTTGAACGAATGATTTTGATAAAGTTCTGGCATAAAGTTGGATCTGTTTAATCATTCACTCACCATTAAAAGAAAACCTTTGTCATTTTTCTTAAGCAACCGAACAGCCTGCTGAGTCATCTCAGCTAAGCTCGGTGTTTGCTCCGTCTTCACAGCATGGTAAGGGAGATGACTAGGAGCAAAAATTCCGAGAATTTTCGACGTATTAGCGATATCGACGGAGAGAAGCTGTTCGAGATTGGTCACCACTTTCCCGTCGGGATTATTCTCAGCCCATACATCCGCCAAATTTTGTCCATCTCCTCTGACACACGTATCGGGATCTATCGGCTCCATTGGTAAGCCCATATGTTGCGCTCCACCACCCATAATCACCTAACGTTAATTAAACGATCGTTAGACGAACGTTCGAAGCGGCAACGAATACGTATGGAAATGTAGTGGCTCGCCAAAGTATCTGGACAACTGATCGTGGAATATCTTTGTGAACATATTATGGAGGAGAACATATTATCGACGAGGAACGATCATCACGATTATAACAGTACAGAATTTGAAACGTATATACCGAAAATGTGCATTGTACGATAAAAGTTTACGACATCGTTATTGCAAACACGTACGCTTAACGTAAATACGAATAGTAAATTACGTGTCCTAATACTTATGGCGAACAGGGTACGCGAAATCAAGGGAAAGGACAAATACATTCCCTTACCTTGAACTTGTTTCCTGGTTCGTCTTCGATTAGTTGTCTCGCGATATCCTTTACGCAACCTTTATATTGCGCCGGTATCGACGTATCGCATTCCCAGTCGCGATTATTAGTATGAGCGTATAATCCACCCGGAGTAGCATGCGTGATCCGAGTTGTCGTGACAAACCCTGTATTTCGCCGAACGATCCAGCAAAAAAGGAAATGAGAAAATCATCCAAAATTTGTCAACGACCGAGTCGCTTTATCTTGTATTAAGGCGTCTCTTTCGTTTCATATTTGATGCGAGTTTATACTAGGAAAAAGATGTTTGTTCTCGCGTTTCCTTCATTCACCGACATATTGGAAAGTAATGGCGAGAAAGCGAGAGTTACGAGCGTTATGCCCTAGATAAAGCGGAAAGTTGGCTCGCGACCTTCTCTCTGCCGTGTCGTTTTCCAGCTCGTCCCGGCAAGGTCTATTCGATACTGATGTTTAATGTTTAACACCGGTAGCTGGCCGTGAGTAGGTCGTCGTTGCTAACGAGTCACGTTCACGTCAGTCCCGGTTCTATCTATGCGTATCGACCATTCCATTCGGTCAATTATACGTATGTATAGTTACGCTTGATACGTGCATCTACATGTACCTATATATATATAGATGTACCATATATATATATATGGTATATATATACGGTATATACATATATACATATATACATATATGTGGTATATATATATTATATGGTATATATATATAAAAGGTATATATATAAGGTATATATATAGGTATATATATATATATAAGTATATATATATACCATATATATATAAGGTATATATATAGGTATATATATACAGGCATATATATATATATATATAAGGTATATATGTAGGTATATATATAGGCATATATATATATAAGGTATATATAGGTATATATATATAGGCATATATATATACCATATATATATATATATACCATATGTATACCATATATATATATGGTGTGTATATATATATATATATGGTATATATATATACCTATATATATGGTATATATATATGGTATATATATATATATGGTATATATATATACCTATATATATGGTATATTTATATGGTATATATATATATATATATACACCACACATACACTCTAAATTTCTGGCGAAATCTATTTTCATCTGTCTATTTACGTATTTGCAAGGGGTTATCAGTTCAACCCTTTGCCTATCATTTTCTTCTTTTCGCAAGGATAAAAGGCGGCTTACCGGTATCCATGCCACTTTCTTGCGCCCAATCTGCGACAGTCGTAACTTTGCTCTCCTTGTCGGTTTTGTTATTACACCGATTAAACGAAGCTTTCGTATCTAATCCAATAACCTTGTATCGGCATTTAACACCGGAAAATATCGCGGTAGCTGTCCCAGCTGAATCGGGTACTTGTTTATCGGTGTTGTACGTCTATAAAGAACAACTCGAATAGAAATTTGCCCGGCTACGAAACTTTTGCAAACCGCTGTACGCGTATACGCGTATAAGTACCTTGGCGAATCCAGTGTTAGGAAAATTTTCGAAAGCCAATTTGTATTCCTCGCCGGTGTTACCCTTGATTTGGCCTTTGTATATTCGACCAGCTGTGATCGTAGATACTCCCATACCATCACCGATAAAGATAATTACATTCTTCGCGCGATTTTCGTTGTTTCGATAAGCCAGAATTCTTTGAAGATTCTCTTGGCCGGATTTTAGCCAAAAGGACATATCTGTAAAGAGTAAAGAAACACGCTCATTTGTAATATCATAGCGAATAACTACGAGATTACCGATGTTTACGTAAATTTGTATTTTTATCAGGGACCGTAACCGTTATGACCCAAATTTACGAAAGCTACAGAATACGAATTCATATTTTACTTGGAACGATTTTGGCTAGGATTAACCATTAAACACGACTAAAATTTTGTTAGTCGTCATTATCGATAAATATTATGGACGATACACGTTTTTATTGGTTATCGATAACTATTATCGATAGGAGAACTATCCTTTTAGTAGGTAGGTACCTGTAACCATCGCCGATAACGAAAAATTATTTTTCTGCGTGCTTTCGATCATCGTCAATTTTTATCGAATTTGAACGAAAACGAACCATTTCGTTTCGAGTTACTCGAATTTAAATTGCTGGAATTCAGGAAACACGACCGATCTGGACGAAGCTCGAAGAGCATGCACATGTAGTAGAAACGTGAACGGTGTTTAATAAGCGTTTTAAAAGCGTGGAAAGTGGCGACCTTGGTAATGTCAGTTTACGAGTTCGTGAATCTTGGATGCCACGTAATTGTCAGTTCGAATAATTATAAAGATAATCGATTCTTATCAACATGCTAGGATGTGTTTGTCGCAAAGAGCAAGTACTATTTTATCTAATATTCGAAATTTGCTTTTTGATAAAAGCCGAAGTGGGTCAAATAATTTGGAAATATCAACAAACCTTCGTAATGGGTAGCATTTCGAGGTAGAGAATTTGCGAGCTCGAGAAATCCCAACAGAGAACACGCTAATACGGCCAGACACCTCATCTTTGTGGAATTTGTAAATCTGTAACAGATTTTATACCATGTTGAATCGTATATCGTATGGTTGGTTCTTCGGTAACGCGACTTGTCGCGAAACGATCACTTAAAGAATTTAAGTTAT